GAGTACAATTCTGTAATCAAATGTGAATCCAGCTGATAGTTTTTCTATCCAGCCCACAATTGGTTGTCTTTCCGATCAGAATGCCGTGGGGTATTATGCCAAAAGCTTTGCTGAAATCAAGATATATTATACCCGCAGCATTCCTACCATCTACTGGAGAGGTTACCTGGTCAAAAACTGAGATTAGTCTGGCCGGATTTCTTATTGACAAATTCATGTTGACTTACAGTTATTGCTGCTTTCCATGGCCTTACAGAGTGACTGCTTTATAATCTATTCCAGAATTTTGAAAGGATTAATATCAGGCTGACTGGTCTGTAGTTCCCATATTCTCTTTTTTGCTCTTTTTGAATGTAGGTACATTAGTCTTCCTCCAATCATCTGCAACTTCACTCATCCTCCGTGATTTCAAGAAAATGCCAATTTTTGACGGTAGCTTGAATCATTACTGGCTTCAGCCCTTCCTGGCATTGATGTGTGGCCCTGATAGATACATTTGAGGTTAGACAAGAGAAAGATTTTCTCTCACTTTTGTTCAGTGTGTATTATCTTTGTGGTCCTTTTGACCATCCAGTAAACTTTATAAGCGCTACTTACTGAATTTCTGCCTGAGATTAGATTTTAATCAGGAACTTCTCAGTTCACCGGTTGATCTGTTATTTTTTCTTTTTATTACTAGTCCATCCTTCCTCTTTTCCTTGATTTATACAATATCCCCGTGAGGTGGGTTAGGTTGAGAGTTAAGCACAGACCAAAGATCACCCAGTGGAGATCTGAAGGTGCATTTTTCCAAAGCTGTAATGTGGGGTGAGGAACATAACTTTCATTGCTTGTTTTCAGACTATGGCTCCCATCAGCTGTAGCCAGTACGTATACTGAATGGTGAGGGATGATAGGAGCTGCAGTCCAAAAGCAGCGAGTGGGCCTCATGTTGCCCACCTCTGTGTTAACCAATAAACCATGCTGGCACTTCAAGCACCCAATCAGCCATAGTTCTCATATGATTTGTTGCTTTTGAAAGTATAGTTAACGAAATAAATATTCCATGCCTCCCTCCATAATGAAGCAGTGAGTGGGGTCATTCCTGTCTTTATATTGTGTAGCTTAGATCAGAGTTGGAAGGGGGCTCAAAGGTCTTTTTGACCACCCCATAGTCAGTGCAAGATCTATAGCATCTCGTCCCATTCCACAACAGTTCATACTTCCATGGCAAAAGAATGTGTATTGTTTGACAGAATCTTTGAGGAAGGAGAGGCCTTGTTTGTTTAAGGTGTGTATCCCACTGTAGACTTCAGCCTGGCTAAGCCTTGGGATGCTATAATAAAGTGGGAGGCGGGGAAGCCCATTAAACATTCTCCAGGACATAGGTGTGTGATAAAACGGAAACGTATCTTAGAGCCTTGGGTGAAGCTAGGATGAAAATGAAAGAGCAGCGTATGAGATGTCCTGCATTTTGGGCATGGATGAGCAGTAGTGTCATTCTACAACACCCATCATCTCCATGCTAGTGAGGAGTGATGGGAGTTGCAATTTGTAACTTCTTTGTTGTTGTTGCTTAGTCGTTTAGTCGTGTCTGACTCTTCATGGCTCCATGGACCAGAGCACGCCAGGCCCTCCTGTCTTCCACTGCCTCCCGGAGTTTGGTCAAACTCATGTTGGTTGCTTCGATGACACTGTCCAACCATCTCATCTTCTGTCGTCCCCTTCTCCTCTTGCCTTCACATTTTCCCAGCACCAGGGTCTTTTCCAGGGAGTCTTCTCTTCTCATGAGATGACCAAAGTATTGGAGCCCCAGCTTCAGGATCTGTCCTTCCAGTGAGCACTCAGGGTTGATTTCCTTCAAAATGGATAGGTCTGTTCTCCTTGCAGTCCAGGGGACTCTCAAGAGCCTCCTCCAGCACCACAGTTAAAAAGCATCAATTCTTTGGCGGTCAGCTTTCTTTATGGTCCAGCTCTTACTTCCATACATTGCTACTGGAGAGCTTGAATTTGGATCTTAAATTAATTTAAATCTCTAGGCATATGGGATGCTTCCACCCCAACTGAGGAAGTGGGTGAAATCAGACTGGGGGTTGTTTTCACTTAATCAGCCTCAGGCATAACTGCATAAACCACACTGCATCTGGTGATATGTCCAAATGGGTTTCCAGTGTAGACGTCCACTTTTTTTTTTGTTGACACACATGGTGGGTGAGAGGGAATGTTTTGAAGACATTCATATCCTAGTAAAGAGTACAATGTTTTAGTGATCAGCATTTTTGGATGCCAGTTAATTTTGTTACTACTCATATGTTATTGAACATTTTGTGTGAATGACAATTGTGCCATAGGAAACTTCAAGTCAACCCAGGATAGCCTTCCTCCTGATAAAAAGGCAAGGCAGGCCCTGACTTAAAGCATTACAACATTGTCTTCCTCCACTTTCTTCATATCTTTGTTGGATTATCGTTTTATTTTGGGCTAACAATTTGGAATTTTAACTTCTTACTTTCTTTTAAAAAATGTTTTATCCCCTTTTTACCCTCATTGAGGGTCCTTTGTGTGAAAATTAATTAGAATGATTTATGGAATCTCGTTTAAATCTTAATTTTTTTTAAACTTTGCCATATCAGAGTTTCTATTTTTGCTGAAATATAGCTGCTTTATTGTAAAAGCTCATATGGCTAAATGCAATGAAAATTCATGTTAAGAATTCCACGCCACCTCTCCTGGGAGCAAGCTCCTTTGAACTCATTAGGATTTACTGAGTAGAAGCATACATTTGAGGGGGTTTGGGGGGAACATTCAAATATTTATTATTTATCTAGGAAGAATGCTTGTGTTGGTTTATTGTGATATAGGCATTGTTGCTCAAGGGCTGCTTCATCCGATGCAGGAAGTGCATCGAGAAAGTTGTAAGTTGAGGTATCCTGCAGAATAACAAGTCACACAGTGAGAACTAAAGATGACAAATATGAAACCCACATCCTGATCATTTTTTAAAAAAAAGCTAGGTCTTTGGTTTCTGGGGCTCTAAAATACATTTCTAAACATCTGGCTCTCTCAGGCTTTAAAATACACAACATAAAGATTCGTAGGAAGTACTGAAGACATGATCTAGTTTAGGGACAGCTTGGAATACTGCAAATGCCACTTGGTCACCATCTTCCTCAGTTACTCCACTCGCTGTGAAACACAATAGGTTTCTATTTGAATTATGGTATTTTCTTTTTAAAAATTCATCTCTACATACTGCATACAGATTTTGTGGACGGGAATGTGATTCTTCCTTCAAGGAGATTTGTCAGTGATGTGCCCCTATGCCACTTTCAAAACTTCCTTTTGGGACTGAATGGGCACAGAATGCGCTGGGTTTCCTCATTGGCTTTCTGTTTTTTCTTTGGTGGTACATTAATTAATTAAATGATTTGCTGTGGCTCACCTTTGTGTGTAGAGTTCTGTCTCCACATTCTCTCTCTCTCTCCCTCATTCGCTCTCTCTTTTCGCTGATACTCTTGCTTTTTTAAAAAATATGTCATGTATTCTGACTGTTCAGGTGAATTTTTCTGTTGTTCACTTGAACTTAAGTAGACCATCCCCATTTGTTTTTACTTTGATCCTTTGAAAATTATGTAGTATGAAATCACTTAATATTAGTAGCAGTTAGGTAACCTACTTGTTGATTGCTAGCATACTAAGTTTAAAAAAATCACTTCCTGTATAGTTCTCTGGTATGCTGACTCAATAACTTTAATTTTGCACTTGAAACGGGGACATCATCATGATGGGGATGCATTGATCTCAGAACTGTTTGGATCCAATGTATCAAAGCGGTAAATTCTATAATGATCAGAATCCTGTTTGTTACTTTTGCCAGCATAAATACAATGGCCAAAATCCTGTTGTTTAGTGTAGCATCTCACAGTAGAGTAAGCCCACTGAATCAATGGGGATTTGGTGAGTCATCTCCTCCATAAGTAAAGAGTTACACAGAGAAAAATAGACAAATCCTTGGCCTTGAGGAGCAGAGAGCTGGAAATACACAAAGGGGGGGGGAGAGAAGCAGAAGCAGGAGAAAGGGAGAGAAGAAGGCCAGTTTGAAGAGGTGAAGAGCTTTCTAGTGCATCCTGTTATATATGAATTTACGAGTCATGGCAACTGCTGTACTTCAGTCAGCAACTGGTGGTTTAATCTGGGACCTGGCACTTACTTCTCACACAAATGATATACAGTGGTGCCTCGCATAGCGGACCTAAAATCGCATTCGTTATGCGAAGCATGGTCCCAAACTTCGCTAAGCGAAAATCGCCCATAGGAAACATCGTTATGCAATGCATATTATTTTCTAAAAAAACACATCGTTATGCGAATTCATCGCTAAACGAGGCAATCGTTAAGCGAGGCACCACTGTATTGGGGACACTATAACAAATTAAAATTATCTCTCCCACACCCAGATGTCTGGTGCTGATTTGGAGCATCATCAAATATTATAATGAATTCAGTAAAATTACAGTTAAAGGCAGGGGTCAGCATTGAAAGCTGCCAGGCACTGTAAAGAATTTGAGCAAACCTCTTTGAGCATGGAAAAATTATTATTTTTTAATTACTGCACGTAGAATCTTGCAGCCAGCACGACTAGTGGTTGCGCTGGCTGGGGGATTATGGGAGATGCAGTCCAAAAGGTTATTCTTCCAAGTAATGCTTAAAACTAAGACACAGTTGGTGCCTTAAAAATACTTTCAAAACACTTTATCTTTTTCATTCACAAAATCTGGTCAGTCTCTGTATACAAAACAACTTTAAAGTTTGCTTTTCCCCCTGAGAATCATAACTCTGTGGACGGAGGTCTATAAACCTTTGATGGGGTTCTCAGTGATGCATGGATAGACTGCACTTTCTGTGGAGACTCCATGAGTGTTAAACTGCCTTTTTAAAAGATATCAGAACTTGTGGTGTTTGAGAAGAAACTAACGGTATTAAAATGGTTTCTTTCTTCTACTTTGTCTTCTCCCTTCCAGTGAGCTGCCGCCTTGTCTTTTGGGAAGTGATCAAGATGGAAAATATCTGCCTGTGGAGAATCACCTGGATCTGAATGCTTCCCCCTGGATAACTGTTTCTTGTACCTATGACAATCAACAGAAGCTTGATACTGGCCTGTAGCCCTGGCCATGCAGAAGGATGATGTACTAACAGCTCAAACTTGAGAGGCCCTTAAGAGAATCTGCTTTAAGAAGAGGCCTTTAAACAAACTGGCTTTAAGAAAACCTCCCGCCAAGTACTTCCATGGATCAGGACATCAGCATGGATGCCTTGCTTGATCTCAGCTTTCTGACAGAGGAAGAGCAGAATGCAATCGCTGCTGTTCTGCAGAGGGATTCACAGCTCCGGATGTCAGAGGAGGGACGGATCAGGTGTGAGAGGTGGTGGGGGGTCCTCAAATATGGCCTGAGGCAGAGATTGGGCTGACTTCAGGCTTGCATGGCCTATTCCTCCCCCCCCCCAAAAAAAACCACACATGCAGTACCTACCAAAAGTCACAGGTTCAATCCTCAGTATCTCCAGGTAGGGCTGGAAAAGAATTATGTATCAAATGCCAGAGAATGAGTCAGTGTTAAAAATACCGCAGTAGATGAACTAATAGTCTGACTTAGTATAAAAAGCAAAAGCAAACAAAGGTGTGCTGCTTATATACCACTCTGTAGAACTTAAAAGACTCTCTGGGTGGTTTACAGTTTAATTAGCCTGGCTGTACATTGCCCCCACAACAAGCTGGGTACTCAGTTTACTGACCTCAGAAGGCTGGAAGGCTGAGTGAACCTCAAGCCGGCTACCTGGGATTGAACCCTGGTTGTGAGCAGAGTTTTGACTGCTGTAATGCAGTTTAGCCACTGCTCTGCAAGTCTCCTAAAGTGCTTATATCCAACTAGAACTAAGATCCACTTGCTGGAACCAGTTGCATGATAGTGGCTTGGACAGGCGAACATAATGCCTAAGAGAAATAGGACATCTCTAAGGATAAGCTTAGGCCAGGAAGCTTTGATCTAAACCAGAAAGAAGCTTCTAAATTATTTCACACAAATATCCAGTACTGGTTCAAAACACATTCTTTTTCAGCAATGTAATTTAAGAGGAACAAAACTTTGGATTTATTGCTTTTGTTAGGCAGTTGTAAATCAGGAAACCTTATGGATCTGTTGTTAGCGCCTAGAGATGTAACAATATCCTTATGGACCTTTTGCCTACCCTGGGACAAAACATAGAAAGGTGCCTCACACCAAGTCAAGATGGTTTGCCTTTCTAGACCAGTATTGCCTTGCTTAGACTCACAGTGGTGTTTCTAGGTTTTCCCCACCATATGAACCTTTTAATCAGATCTGTAAAGCCAGTTAAAAGGATTAAGTGGTTGGAAAAAACAAGAAGAATGATTATTACCAATCTGAACCACAATCCACTGCTATCTGACAATTTCTCAGTGAATATATATGAAGATAATGGACTTGATATTTTCAGTACTCTTGGAATGCAGGGAGGAGATCTGAGGAATGTTATCTGCAGATTCTTCCATTTCAGATCATAGGTCTGTCTAACCCAGTGATTTAAAGCATTTCTTACTCCGGCCTGGAGGTATCAAGGATTGAACCTGGGAACTTTGGATGCAAAAAGCTCTACCTATGGCTTCTTCTTACGGAGTCTGAGGATTCTGGGAAATTATTTTACAGTATCCTTCTCCAGTGGAGCAGCTAACCAGTTGTCCTAGAATTGGGATAATGGTGGTGATGATGGCAGGGAGAAACTTTGGCTTGGAGAATTCCTTCTGCTTATGCAGCAAAATGAAGGCATGCCATGAAATATTGAGAGATAGAGATAGGCATTCATGGATGTCCTTTGGTTCTTTCTTAATTTTTGATGGGTTGATCTAAGAGTGGAAATCAAGGGTATTTAAGTATTTATTTAGAACATGGATATCTGCTTCTGCCTTGGAAGGTCTTAGAGCCAATTCAAAGGGATCCCATGATCAATGGTACCAAAAGCTGCTAAGAGGTGGTGGTGGGGGATCAGCAGCAGCAGGTTCAAGCCTCTTACCTGGTCAGGGCAAGCAAAGCAGCTTTGCTACCAAATCTTGGCCTGAACTGAGACTGAAACGGATCCAGACGCTTAAGCACCTCCCTGCCTCAAACGCAGGATTTCAGATGTTCCTCACATACGTCTGGGAGTAGTATCCTTTTGCACCTCCACCTCTGTAAAACATCATGGAACCAGCCCTTGACATAAGGAGGAATTTACCACCCTTATGGGGAAGAGCCTGGCAACGTTACTTTTTTAGATTGCAACTCTCAGAATTTCTCAGACATTGTGGTCAGTTGCCATGTGGTCTGTGGGATTTGGGGAATTGCAGGCCAAAAAACTCAACTTAATGGAACTTGGCACGAAATCTATATGTGACAGGTGTGCAGCCAAAATAATAGGCCATGGAGGTGAAAATAACTGGCCGAGTCTCTTTTCCTTCACTCCAGTTTTTTTGGCAACAGGTCCAAAAGCAAAAGAAAAAAAACTGGACAAGCTAGTTTTCAAATACAGCTCCCCACCCCCATCTCCGACAACCTCTAGTTGACAGTTTTATTCTGAAATCTGTTAACAATATCATGAACTGGAGCAGTGCAAATAATGAAGTTCCTCAGAGGTACAACCGTATTCTAAGCAGGAACCAGGGTGGATTAAAATCAATGATTTAAATAAATAAATAAATTGGATTTTTAAAATTTAAATCAAATTTATTTTAATGAAATGCTTTTGGAGGAAAAATCTATCTAAAGATAGTTTTCTGTTTAAGATATATTGTGGTTCAAAAGTTGTTCAGCACGAAATAGAACTTAGTTATGTAGCATGAGTATATTTATGAAATATTTATATATACATTTGTAAACTAATGCAATTAATCCAAGTTATCCAAGCTGAGATAACATGTATTTTTTTCTCTGTAAAAATGGTATAAAATGAACAAACTTCAGGAAAAGACCTTAGTCCCATTGTTGTTTTGCAAATCTGTGTATAAACGATGAACACATTGATGTTTAAGCAAATGTAATGTGTGCGATATAATGCAACCAGATAATATCTGTGACCAGATGATTTAATTTTTAGAAATATAACCTGTTAGATTAGTAAAACAGCTATATCAGAACAGATTTTAGGTTAATCAGTCATCCATATTTTGAGAGCTACTTAAATTGTTTTATTTAACTAAAACAGTATTCTCCAAATATGAGTTAACATATTTGTTATCTAACAGGTTATTATTCTAAATATGTAGTCTTCTTCTGGTTGCAAATATTAAAGATTATCACTACCAGCAAGAAAGAGTCTTTACATTTAAAAATCATGATTTAAATTGAGTCTTACTGACTAGTGATTTAAATCAAAACCACCTTGGTAGAAACTACAACAAAGAATTGCAGTATGGATTGGAGTCTTCCGGATGCCAATCATGCCTAGACACCCCCCCCCTCTCTGGCTGTCGATTCTTAATATCTGTGACCAGATGATTTAATTTTTAGAAATATAACCTGTTAGATTAGTAAAACAGCTATATCAGAAGAGATTTTAGGTTAATCAGTCATTCATATTTTGAGAGCCACTTAAATTGTTTTATTTAACTAAAATAGTATTCTCCAAATATGAGTTAACATATTTGTTATCTAACAGGTTATTATTCTAAATATGTAATCTTCTTCTGGTTGCAAATATTAAAGATTATCACTACCGGCAAGAATGAGTCTTTACATTTAAAAATCATGATTTAAATTGAGTCTTACTGACTAGTGATTTAAATCAAAACCACCCTGGTAGAAACTACAACAAAGAACTGCAGTATGGATTGGAGTCTTCAGAATGCCAATCATGCCTAGACCCCCCCCTCTCTCTGGCTGTCGATTCTATCCACATCTGCAGTAGTCAACAGATGATCAATGGCCTCTAAATGTACCCAGCTCCCAGTGGGCTGCTTTCAGCTTCCAAGTACGGCTTTTCTCTTTAAAGAATATTTTGTGCTTCTGCTATTCTTTGGAGTGCCTCAGGCCTGTTGATAGCTTTCCCTTGGGTGTGGACAGTGCTGTTTTGTCATTACAGGGAACAATTTGAGTATGTTACTGGGAGAATTCAGCTTACCATATTTGCCGGCGTACAAGTGGCAAATAGCATGGATGGGAGCACTGTAGACCTACAGAAGTTAGACTACAATTTCCATTGTCTCTGACCTTTGGTTATGAAATCTAGGGAAGTTGAAGTCTACCAAGATTAGGGTTGCCAGATACACGGGTACTAAAAGGAGGACAAAGAAAGACAAAAAGGAGGACAAAGGAGGACATATTGAATGTTTCAATTGAATCGTTCCAGATTAAACCCCAAATCAATACAATTTTATTACAATAGCTGCCAATAAATGTCTCTTAGTGAACCGACCAAGAAACAGTCATGTTAAAAAATAAAAATAAATTCAATGGAGGCTTTTCCCTCCAAAATACCATCAGTGGGTGGGCCGGTGTGTGGGCAGGTGGGGGAGGGGAAAGCCAGGGGGAAGGGGGTCATTCCACCTCTCCCCCTCCCATCCAAAATTATAACATAAAATATACAAAAACCTGGCATTTTAAAGATTTTTATCTTTGCCTGCCTGACGGAGGACATTAGGCTAAAAAGGAGGACATGTCCTCCTTTTGCCTGACATCTGGCAACCCTAACCAAGACCTGAGGAAATATATGTTCCTGATAGTGTTTGTAGGATCACAACTTGAGTTTCTGCTGTTAGGCAGCATATACTAAATTATTTGCTGCTTCTCTCTGTCTCTTCCATCTCAAGAAAATTGCGTCAGTCTATCTCGGATCCAAACTGGCTGAAAATCTTGTCCGGAGACTGGTTTTGTGAAATCCGTTCCAAAAGGCATTACCACAGTCACTTTGGCTCAGACATTGTCCGGGCATCGATCCGCCGGAAGAAGAGGCCCAAAGGTAAGTGATGCGCTTCACCACACCCGTCCTTACAGCAAAATATTGATCAGGCAGAGCGAGGCAGCTGTCTTAGGTGAAAGATGCTAGTAAGCAGCTGTAGCAGTCTCATCAGTATCTCCTTGCACCTCTTAAACTAGCCTGGCCTCTTCAGGTATGGTAAAGGATCTTATTGCCGAAATCTAGTAGTGCATCACATCAAGCGTAGGCCCATTGAATCCATGGGGATTTGGCAAGTGAACAATTAGGGAAGCTCATTATTCAGCTAGTGCAATGGGTTAAACATTAGATAAAAAGAAGTGATAAATGTATGGTTTTAATGAGATTTGAAGAAATTGTATTATAGAAGGAAAATATATATGAAAATAAGAATGCAAGGGATGATAAATAAACGTTATAAGATGTTAATAGAAGCAGAGGACCAAGAAGATTTTCTGAAAACATTATGGAGACATAATTTGGGAAAAGAAATACATGCCAGGGTGTAGAAGAAAATGTGGGATAAAAGAATATTACAGTGCATGTATATAAAGATAAAATAACCGTTTCATAAATTAGCTTGGAGATGATATTTAATTCTGGTGAAATTAAATCAAATCGATACTAATTATTCTAAGCTGTGTAGCCATTTTATTTACCCAGTGGCCATTTTGAAACCACCTACCAGCTGTAGGAAAATTGTCATTTTGCAAAGAATCGGTTCCCGAAGCAAGGAACCGATCATCGCAAAGCGAAAAAAGCCTATTCAGACCATCGTTTTGCGATCGCAAAAGCGATTGCAAAAACGTCGTAATGTGGTTTTGTCGTAATGTGGGGCAATCGTAAAGCGAGGCACCACTGTAAATGTATAATAATGAGGCACAACTTCTCTCCCAACAAAGCAGGTGAATGGGACTTGAAACAGTGTGGCATCCGGGGAGATTTGGATGTGATCAGTGAACCAGCGGTGGAAGAGGAGAACATATCGGATACAATCGATGGGTGAGAAGCCTTATTATTTGGGTGTGGACTGAAGGTTTTCTCGGCGTGTGGCAACATCAGCTCCTTCAGAAGCTTACCAGTAGCCCTTCTAGAATGGACGATAGCATCTTGGTTTGCAGTGTGAGAGAGTTGCATGAGGAGGCTGTGGACAAGGAGGTTTTTCCCCTTCTTTTTCTTGTCCAAAGGAGTGATGGCTTAACAGAACCTGTCACAAAAAGACAAGAAAGAAAGAAGACCGTGCAAGCCAGTTCTCCTTTGCCTGCTCTTTTGAATATTGTTCTGCCCTGAGCAGTTCATCAAAAGGACACTGAGTGTCAACAAGGTTACTGTAAGCCCTGGGAGGCTTTCCTGACACTGATCTGTACAGTTCTTAAAGACTCATTGCCATCTTTCTTTATGGCAGATTAATGTGTGGTGCATTGGGTAGAGCAGGGGAAGGTAGCCTGTGGCTTATAGGTCTAAACCAGGGGTCTCCAAACTTTTCAACATGAGGGCCACATCATATATTTTACACATGATTGAGGGCCAAAGGAAAATGCGCATACGCACGCACGGACACATGCACAGGCTGAAGGGAACGGGCTTGAGCCTGTGGACCTGAGCATGAGGACCTGAGCATGCGGTGTTTGCCAGGCTGAATAAAAAGGCAAGGTGGGCTGGATCTGCCCCGTGGGCCGTAGTTTGGAGAACCCTCGTCTAAACCAATCCTCAAAAATTCTTCTTCTGACCCTAGTCAGACTGGGAGAAGCCCTGTCCCCTTTGGGAGGCTCTGCCTCCTCCTCAAAGCTGGCCCCCAAAAGGTGTGTGTTATGTGCTATCAAGTCGGATCTGACTTACAGTGATCCCAATAACATTTTTAATGCATGTGAGACATTAAGAAGTGGCTTTCCTCATATCATTCCCCCCCCCATGAGTTTTCATGGCCAACTGGGGTTTCAAACTGAGGTTTCCTGAACCTTAGTCCATCACTCATCTTCTACCACACTGGGTATCCCCCCCTCCCCAGAAAAGCATTATTTAAATGTCCCTGTTTAATCCAGTCTGGCACAAGAATTGACTGGGGCAGAGAAGTCTGTGGAGGATCCTGGGAACTATAGTCCAAGGATAATCCAGTCTGGCACAATTGACTGGGGCAGAGAAGCCACAATTGGTCTGTGGATCAGGCAGTCCTATGAAAAGTGAACAGTGATTTTGCTAGGAAGAGAATCAGTAATAAAAGCAGAGCTTGGAAAAGTAACTTCCTTGGACTTTTATTATATATATAACAGATATATATATATAACAGAGCTTGGAGAAGTAACTTCCTTGGACTATAGTTCCCAGGATCCTCCAATTGACATTGTGCTGGTTGGGTGGTTCTGGGAGGATATAGCCCAAAAAAGTAACTTTTCCAGCTGTGGATGAGGCTGCTGAGAGAAGGTGTCTTCGGTGCTAAGGAGCCACTAACTTGCTTTGTTTCTGGGCTTCGGCATTACAAGATCTCTCTTGCTGCATTTACTAGAAACCTAAGGTGTGCTAACTGGATGGCTCAGGTGGGCAAGCAGACCACGAGCAAGGCGCCTCTGAGTACATACCCCACATGGCCATTTTTGTGTGTTCTGACCAGAACTGTACAGTGGTGCCTCGCTTAATGAGCGCACCGTTTAACGACAAATTCGCATAGCAACGCGTTTCTTGCGATCGCTAATGCAATCACATTGCAATGCTTTCATAGGGAAAACGTCGCATTGTGATGATCGGTAAGCGTTTCACTTACCGACATTCGCATTGCGATGTTTTTTAAACAGCTGATTGGCGGTTCCAAAATGGCCGCCGCATCCGCAAAATGGCTGCCCGCAGCGTTTTCGCGCCCTGCCCTCGCTTACCGGGCAGCGAAAATGGCGGCCGGATTGATGCGTTCCTATGGGGTTCCCCCCCGCATAGCGACGAATCCACATAGTGACGTTAATCCTGGAATGGATTAACGCCGCTATGCGGGGCACCACTGTATTTGCAGTCCTTGTCCCCAATCCAATCATGTTTGCTTTTTGTTTTGCTTTTTAAGCTAAGCATTCATTCTTCTTGTTTCAGTTGTTGAGACAATTGTCAAATTAGATCTTCGAAAAGTTACTTTTTTGGGGTTACATCCCCTAGAATCCTGCAGTCGGCATAACCACAGTCTGGGAGCTATAGTGGAAAAAAGTAAGAAGAGATTTGCATGGTTAACCTATCAGAAATGGTGCAGCAGTGGAATTTTGGTACCGCTTTTGGACTAGATGATTTTTCAGGTTCCTTTCCACTCTGTTCCATGAGCTGTTTCCACTCTATTACACACTGCTTAGAAACATACCAGTACGTAACTCTCTTTTGACCTTCTTTCTGCACACATTATCTAGAGTCCTTTTATAGAGAGACTGTAAATATGTTCAAGTATTATATGGTTTAAGCAGATTGTTTAAACATTACATTGTTTAACTAGGCAAATGTGGAAGCATGCATGGCAGAGATGTGTAGTTGGAAGAATATATGGCATACACCCGCCAAGAAATTAATGAAAGAAACTGGTACATCCACTAAATGTTAGGTTAAAGAAAGGGAAAACTGTAGTCCCAGGAGGTAGAGAAAAAGCTGTGTTTCAGCCTATCAGCCCTAATTTAATGGAACTGGTCACAGATGGAACAAACAGAAAATAACTAATTAAAATCAAGTAAATATGCCCTTGAAGAAAGTTGATAGGCTGAAATACATTGGATATTTTATACTGAAATGAAAAGCATTATGTTTTCTACATCCTGGGATTACAGTTTCCCCTGTTTTTGATCTAATATACCGTGAGACAAGCCATATTTTTTAACATATCTTCCTCAAGCTGTCCTATTTTTTTAAAGAAAGTTCCAATATGATTTCCTTGCAAAAAGGGAAGTGTTCTGAGTTTCAGAAGACTGAATCTGCAGGTTAATGTTGCTCCTGTTGTTGCTTCATTCCTCTCTAGCACACTCTCCAGGATTTGGACCATTATGTTACTTTCGAAAAACAACTTTTTTTAACACCCTCATTATCCCCACAGGTTAACTATTTTAACGTAACAAGATTACTTGTAACTTGTTGCTTCTAAGCTAGGAGGCTATTTTGGCTTGGGAAAGTTACTTTCTAGAACTACAACTCCCACACACGGGGGAAATTTGAGGATTTTTCGTCCAAATTTTTTTTTATTTAAGCTCTGGTTTCTTCATTTTGCGTAAAAGGCGATGTCCCATTCAAATGCTCCAAGTGAAGTCTGATGCATTCAACCCACTGGAATTATTAGTATTTTGTTATCTTTGTGTGTTATGTGAAATACGTAGCTCTTAAGTCTGGCTTGGCAGTGGGGGAAAGAAGACAAAGGTGTTTTTTTTTGTTACCTTTACATTCGCCAAAAGTTTTTTTTTAAAAAAAAACATACAAAGTATACCTTGTTCCAGTTTATGTCTTCTAGTCAACCGTGGTTTTAAATTAGCAAGAAGTGCATTATAAACTACCTCAGCGGCCAATAGGCTGTTGCTTAGCGTACTAAGTTGTAACTAAAGTAGCGCTATTTGAATCAATGGAACTTACAGAGAAGTGGCCAAAAGGCTGTTGCTTAGCGTAGTAAGTTGTAACTAAAGTAGCACTTTAGTTCTGATTCAATGGGCTTACTCCAATGTGACTCACTATGCTAAGCAATATGAATTCAGCCAGAATGTTTTTTGGCATTTTGTTTCCTGTCAGGCAATGGTTTTTTTTTTTCTGGAAGGGTGTTCTGTTTCAGGCTGAAATGACCTGCTTCAGGTAGGTGTGACCATCCGTGTGTGGGCACACCCTCATCCCAACCCAAAAGTGATTTGTTCTTCCAGTAGGCCCACTCCATCATCAGAGTCGTGTTTTCATTGGACATGCAATTAAATCCTGCTGTCCCACGTTTTATCTTAGTACATCTTCACTATGAGCACATTCTCCTTGGCACGAACTGGCTGAAATCCAGTGTATCAGGGAAAATCAAAAGAAACAAAACAAAGGGAAAAATGTGGCACCTTAAAGATTAACTACTAGTAAGTTACAACTAGAGCAGGTTCATTGAGTCAGAGGGTTTCCTTGAGTCCATTAATTAAGTAAGTTGCAACTAGAGCAGGTCTATTGAATCAGAGGGTTTCCTTGAGTCCATTAATTAAACAAGCCTACTGTATTTGTGAATTACTACATGATTTCAGCCATTGTGTACATCATCATGACATTGTATCAGTAAAACAACATGAAAACAGTGACTGATCAAGTCACACAATCTAAAACACTGAAGCCAGATTCTGTTCCCTGACACTTCGATGACATGAAGAGACCATGATGTTGTTATGAATGATCCAAACCCGATCGACCTATGTCAGCATAAAGTGTTAGTAGTGTGGCTGACAAAGCACAAGGGCTTGGAGGCTTTGGTGGGGCTGCGGATGAGGCTTCCCCCCCTGCTGAATCCCCTCACACGCTCACATGGAAGTGCCAGACATTGTAAGGATGTGCAGCAGGTTGTAAGACAAAAAGGAGGGAGGGAAGAGTAAGGATATTCTGGAATGGGCATGCAATATTCTGGAGCAGAAACTGCAAGGAACAAAATATAGCAAGACTCTGTGTGATAACCACCAGCCTCAGTTTCCCCTCAGAGTGTGAGAAAGTAAAGCAGATTCCTTGCCAAGAAAAAGTAAACATCTTTTTGCTTTTTTTCCTAGGCTCCCCAGGGAGGCAGCTGCTCCACCACCACCCTGGCCAGAAGAGACTGGGGTGAGCTTGCTTGATTCATGAGCTTCAGTAAAATGACAAAATCTTTCAAGAATATATGGTGGCCAGAATGCAAGTGAATATTTCTCCCTGTGCAAGTGTGTTGGCATAACTCAGAGCAGCAAATAGCCGCTAATTAGCAAGTATGCAGGTTGTGTGATTTACCATGTAATTGAGGAATTCAGTTGTGAATTTGTTAATTATTTGTTTGTTTATTTATTTAACTTATATGCCGCCCACGCTACCCAAAGTTCTCTGGGCGGCTTACAACAATTAAAATGCAATTAAAAAGATAAAACAATTAATTAACAATTAATTAGTGGCTGTTCACTCTTGTGAATTAGACTAATGGATAGAAGTAAATACTGTACTCACTTGAATTCTGGCCTACCTTTATACGTATATGTGTTTGTCCAAATATGATTAGCATGTGCAAATGGAGAACAACTACAAAAACGTAATGGTCATGCTGGCTGAAGGTTCTGGCAGTTATAATGCAAAAAAAATGTTCTGACTATATGTTACTTCTGTATTCTCAGAATTATGATACTAAGGCTGTTTGTGTATTATACTGTGTTCCTGGATTCTTTGGGAAGAACAGACAGACAAGACAGGTTCCCTGGCCAGTCGATATTTGCATTAGGGTCTAAAATCCAATGTACTTTGTTGAATCAAAGAACTCAGTATGCAACCGGTAACTCTTACATTGATTTCGTATCTAGAGGAAATTTGTCTGTAAAACTTATGCTGTTTGTATTAACCTATGCTGTCTTTTTCCATGGGCTTCTCCCCTCCTTTGCAGTCACATTGCTGCATACTGGTGCTTACCATTTTTTTTTCTGGCTGTCTTGGGAAGACTTCCCTGGAGAGCACAAGCCAAGTGACAAGAGGTGCTGCTTTGTCTTCTCAGACTTGCTAGTGCTTGTACTTTTGGCAAGGGCCAAGACAGAAACAGCAAGGGGGAAAACCCAGCATGGCCAGGGAACCTCTGTGGTTTCTCATAAGGCCTTGGCAGGCGTACCCAGTGGTACCAACTCTTAGTTTCGATCTTACTGGTAGGACACTGGGAACAAAAGATGCTGCAACATCAGCTGGCAGCATTCCCTACTGCACCATTTTTATTTTTATTTTTGCCCTCAAGAGGAATGTCCAGAATGAAATCTTTTTAAAGATTTCCTGTCTGTATATTTTTCAGAGCAGAGGTTCTTAAACGTGTGTGTGTGTGTATGTGTGTGTGTGTGTGTGTGTGTGTGTGTTTTCAGGCTGTAATTTGCATTGCTTTTTAAGTGCACAAGGCAGCAGCTGTTCAAGTTGTGACTATATGCAGATAACCTAGAAGTTCTGGAATGCTGTGTTGTAATAATGCTTTGGTTGCGCTGCAATGCATTCTGCTCAGACATGGGCAGTCATTGGGGTGGTTTGCATATGAAAATAAGAATTGGGATACTCTGGGTAGAGTGGGCAGCATAGAAAATGAATGAATGAATGAATGAATTGAATAATGAATGAATGAATGAATGAAGAAATAAATAAATCAAAGGAAGCCCATAAATAAATAAATAAATACATTTACACTTTTAGATTATCCATAGCCAACAAACTCGGCATGTTATTTGACTCATCTTTTTCTTTTTTTTAAAGATGGCAGACTTGACTCCACAAGAGGAGATCCAGCCTCAGGAGGAGATGGTTGAAAGCAAGTCAGGTAATGATCCATAGGGTTCCTTCCGGCTCTACAGTTCTATGATGATGATGATGATGATGATGATGATAATTAAAAAGGCACAGCAGTGAGCAAGTGCGCCGACAGCATGGAGGGTGAGTCTGAAAGAGACAGCAGCAAAATGTGATGTTAAAGGTATTCCTATCTTTAATGTCTATGGGTTGTTTTCCCCCCCCTCTGCTGATAGCATAAATTAACCACCATTGGGGTGAAAGCAGTGCTGGAACTACAGTGGATGAAGCAGGAGGAAGTTAAGCCTTCTCTCCTTTGCCATGATACCAATGAAATCTATGAAATATAAACCTGCTGCTTTCTTTCCAGTGTAAAGAGCAGTACTGTATCAAGGGGTAGTGGGAGAAGAGTTTTGTCCATGTCACAGCAAGGGGAAGAGAATGTAAGCTGCCTCCTCACTGTGTTTCTTACCTATTTCCATTCCATTTTCCACAGTGCTTCTTTATGCTTAGAAACATCTGATGGCCTCCTATGTTTTTTTTTTACTTCAAGTCCAGTCATACCCAGTTAGCATCACCAACAATGAAAAATGCTAAGGGTAGCAGTTACAGTAGTCCGAAACATGTAGAGAGTACCAGGTTAGAAAATTTGCTATAAAAATATTCATGCATGTTAAAACAAAAACAGTGTCACCTTTGGTTTAGAGGCCGCTTCACACGTTGCCCCTGTGGTTTCACACCATCCGTATATGGGCCTCTTGCCGTCTGAGGCCAAACCATAATGCAGGCTATCTTACTTCCAACTCATGCTCTGCTTTATGGGAAGGACTTTCAACATTGCACAGGCTATATGCAATTGGTATTGTTTTTTTTTTTTGCTGTAACACTTTTTTTTGCCGTGCAGTGTTTTACAACAGACATGGAGTGCGGGATAAGTTTTCTGTGAGGACGTGTGCCAAGATGTTAACAAAGTATGAGAGATGCTGAATTTTGTGGCTTGGATAGATAATGCAGATTGTGAAAATGATTTTGAATAACATTTGCTTTTTTCATTGTTGTTTCTGGTGGTCAAAAAAAAAGGGGGGGAGTGAAGGATTCACATGATGTATAGGCCCAAATCTGGTTGCATAACATAAGCACATTTGTTAAGTTTTTGTCTGTTCCTCACCAGAGAATAGTGAGGCCCTGTTGCACTTCTTGGGGTTGCCTGTGCATTCTCCCAAGAAGTGTGTCTAGGTCTCTTTATTCACAAGAAGGAACAGCCCAAGATTTACAAAGGTCTTCACATTATACAACAAGATTTTGGCCATAGAATCCACCACACAGCAGGGATGATCGGCCTTTTTGCCCCATGGCCCTGTGGGTCTTTAAAGACTAACTAGACATTCTCTAAATACCTCATTAGTTAAGATGACAGGCTTCCTCAAACACACACCACAAAGAATTTGAGCTTTTCAAGTGCTCAGAGTTTAGTGAGTAGGAGACTGGGGTTGAAATTGTACCTTGGTGTATTCTTGGTAATTTTGCATGCCTGAGGCCATTGTTTTAACCACCCAGTCTGCAATATGAAAGAAACAGTATGTATTCACCTATGGGATTTCAGTAAGAATTGCACAATGAAGAATGAAGATAATATACAAAAGGCAATATATATGAAGGCAATATACAAAAGATGTGAAATTGTTGTATTGTGATATCAATTAGTAGCTGGCTCATTCCTGGAGAACAAATCTTTGTGTAGCAAATGTGGCATTACCGAGGCGCAAGAGGGAGGCAAAAGGGAAAGCTGAAGGAAGCCTGAGGTTTGCAGATCTGTGGCAGTCTTTAATAGAGTGGGGATGGGGCAGACAAGAGGGGGCGAAGGTCAGTCCCAGTAAGGACTGGCCATGGAATGATGTGTGCCTTCGGAGTGAAGGCCGCAGAACCGGAGGTTGGAAGTTCAGTCCCCCGCTGTGCCTACTTGACAGGGACGTTACTCAATGATCCATAGGCTACTCTGCAGTTCTGACTTCTTCTTGTTGTTGCTGTTGTTGTTGTTAAAAGAGAACTAGGGTGGCTATATGGGACATTTTGGCCAGAATCCTGTTGTTTTTTTTCACATGTGTTTACTTTGCAGCAGCTAATTGAAGCTCACAATTGAGGTGTCGGTCAGATGACCTGGTGGCAGGCCTAGTAACAGGTCCAGCACATTACTGGTAACTTGTTCATTAGCTTCCACAAGGTATCACAACTTCTGCCTTTTAGCTGATATGTCTGTTTAAAAAAAACAACAATGGATACTGGCTCCTTTTTTGACTGTCCCCCCCTCCAGAAAAAAAAAAAATCACTGTCTTCTTATCTTGCCATGGTTTCAATCTTGTATACCACCCTATGGGGAGTTTGCCCTAAAGGGCAGCTTACAAATCTTTCAATAAATTAAAAAAAAAAATAAAATTGAAAATGAATGGAATGGAGTAGCCTCATAAAGGGATATTGCAACATTTTTCTCGTAGGCCTTACTTTTGAAATGGAGGATTTCAGATTTCACACTACCGCGGCCAGGCAGATTTTCTAAGTTCTGTGTCTCACTGGCTTATTTTTCTCTTTTTTCCCACAGAAAGAAGCAACTCCTTTACTGATCTTAGTTCAGGGGAGGAAGAGGAACAACACAGCAATAGAGTACCAGCCATTCTGGTTACCCCACAGGTATGAATGCAGAATGTTGCTAGGCAACGTAGAACCAGCTGCCCTTTTGATTGCTGGTGCAAGAGAGGGAATAGGTGGAAATTGATGGATCTTGCAGAAAATCTTGCAAACCCTCTTGGAAGCTTTATATTTATTTTTTTGACTAAAAGGACTGCCAAGGTGCTCAGGATTATTACTCTGCCTGAGCAGAATAGTGTCTTTCCAGTGCAAGATTCACTTGGAAAGAGCAGAGGAAGCACCAAGCTACGTAGGATGATTACAGTTCCTGTGTTTCATGGAATCTCACCCGAAACAACCTTAAACTGTGTGCAATTTGGCAACTTGCACAAAAACAAAAGAGGGAAAAACACAAAAAGGAAAAATGAGAGCAGGCTCTTCTTTTCATGAGAAGCAGAGAAATCTGGTGCAGGGGAAAACTTGTCAAGGAGTCTTGATGTGCCAAGATGTGGACATTTACCGAAGATGAGAAATGTTTTAAGTACTCCTCACATCCCTTCTAAACAGACATTTACTGATGCCTTCTGGAGCATGGAGAAAGAGCTGATTCTAAGAAACAGTTTACTGATGCATGGAGAAAGAGCTGATTCTAAGAAACATCGAACTGTGTAAATTTCTAGCTTTTTTTGGAAAAAATAGTGAGAATGAAACCTTTTTTTTTGATCTGATTGTTTTATATTCCTAGAATAAGGGGAATCTTGAGAATGGCCAGGGAGGAGATTTGGGTTCGTCCCCTCCAAAGAACAAGGCACTGAGCCCCTGGAATAAAGTACAAAGCACCAGCTCCTCTTTCTCCAGTCTGAGTTCATCCACGGTATGTGATGGTGGGGAGATGGGTCGGGGATAGCCGCGGCTTGATTTCTGGACAGTCTTTAGCATAGTCTTTCCCAACCTCATGACTTCCACTCCTCTCATCCTCAGGTGGTAGTCAATGGTCAAGAATACTGGGAGTTGCAGTGCAAACTGCCTGGAGGGCAGCATGCTGGGGAAGGCTGTTTTAGCATGATGAATTGGTCACAGCAGAATGCCTTTCCCTGAAATCCTTATTTCTTTTGTCTGCTCCTCTGGTCTGTGTGTGCCTCATTATTCTTCTCTTGCTAGGGCTAAATGGTTTCACAAAGTGGAGAAGGCTGGTAGTTGTGAGGAAACCGGCCTCTCTAGTGGAGCTATGAGCAAAGAGGAATGAGCTGTTATTTATTTATATATTAATTATTTATTGAGTGGAGATGTTTTGATACACTGTGACTGGCAATTCAAAGGCAGCTCACAGGTACTAGAAAAATCAAACAAAAGTCACGTTTACACGAATACAGTGGTACAGGTTTCCTTTGATGATTGGCAACCAGAACAAACAAACAAATGGTTAACTGTATTCGCAAAGGCTCTCGCGGCCGGGATCTAATGGCTGTTGTGGGTTTTTTGGGCTCTTTGGCTGTATTCTGAAGGTTGTTCTTCCTAATGTTTCGCCAGGATCTGTGGTCGGGCATTTCAGAGGACAATGATTAACCAGCAATCATTACGTTAGACTGCACAGGGAAGCCATTGAAATCCATAAACATCAGCAGAACTTCAACAAAAAAGAAGAAAGTTTGAAACTCAACAAAACTTGGCTCCCAGCACTGAAAAATAGTGTGCAAAAGGTCAACAATCTCTACCCAGCCACAAGGAACGGTGATCACTACACACAGAAGACCAGCTAACGACACCCATCAATCACAGTGACAGATAATCTCTCCTCCTTATCATAACAATACACCCACAACAAAATCACACTGACCACCATAATCACCCATCTCCTGAAAAGAACTAAAGCTGATCTCACAGCCATAAATACTCAACACCCAAACAAACTGCACCAGAGCACAGAGTGCTGTCCTTTGAAGATGCCGGCCACAGAGATGGTGAAACGTTAGGAAGAACAACCTTCGGAACACGGCCAAAGAGCCTGAAAAACCCACAACAACTAAATGATTAACTAACCAGCTGGATAGAGGATGACCAACAAATGGAAGACAGGTTAGTGTTTCCTAACCTCCTCTCATTCCCTCTTTAAGTAAAAAGTAAAAATAGTAAAGTAAATTCATTAAACCACTTTTACAGTGCAGGCTGAGGAATAGCAACTAGAATAAGGTTCCTTTTACCTATGCAGAGTCACTGCCATAGGGGTGTTGCCATAAACAGCAGCAACAGTGAAGCTGTCCTCAAATAGTCTACAAAATCTAAGAATATCAGGGCAGAAATGGGGTAATGATTTTGGGTTGTGCGCCATGAACTAGTCATAGTCATGGGGGGAAACTCCAGTATAGATTGGCTCACAAATTCATTCCACACAAGGGCTGACTCGAAGCATTCCGTCACCTGAGACCCAGCCATCTCAAGGTGGACAGTACTCTTGGTCAGGCACATGAGACAACCTCTCAGGCACCTCTTGTTCTTGAAATACAATACTTAATAATCATCTTTCCATCACATTCCGAGTCTGCCACATGAGGCAGCTACCCCACTGTGCCCAATGGCAGGGCTGGCATTGATTCCATAGACGTGGTCCATGGGAAGGAAGAGCATGATTTGTCACTCTGCCCAACGGCAGGGCTGGCATTGATTCCATAGACGTACATGAGGTGGTCCATGGGAAGGAAGAGCATGATTTGTTTTGTACTGAGCGTACCTGGGGAATTCCCTTCCCTATATTTACTTGGAAAGAGTCATATGGAAAAACTTGGAGATACTTCAGGTTTCCCACAGGACCTCCTTCTCCCTATAGGCCCTTCTTTCCCCTCCTGCGTTTGGATCCTGTACTTTAACACATTTTGACGCTCATCCTTCCTGCTTCTTTTCAGATGAGCGGCAGTACGATGAGTGTCTTCAGTGACAATGATATTGGGAATGTGGAAGTCCGTGGCTGCATCCAGTTCTCCTTGCAGTATAACTCCGCAAAGAGGGAGTTCAATGTTCAGGTCATCCAGTGCCGAGACCTGGCTGAAGCCAAGAAACAGCGGTCAGATCCGTAAGTTTGCTGTTGGGTTTGGCCTCAGTTATCATCTCTTCAACTTCTTGGCCACTCTCTAGCAAACTAGCCAAATGGTGTGAGAAATTTTGGATTATGGGGACAGTCTGCCTCATTCTCCACCTGTGTCTTCTCTTGGCTACAGAACGTCAGTGACAAGGAACCCTTAGTCTCCCTATCTGGCATCCTAAGTGTAAAGTGTTCTGCTTATATACCAACCCGTAGCATTTAAAGCACTCTCTGGGTGTTTCTGTGAAGATTCTCAGTCATGCAGGTGAGGTTATCTGGAAGCTGAGTCACGGCAACTAGACTTCTTCCTTATTAAGTTGAAACGTTTTGCTACTACGTTTCATCTTAATCAGGAAGAAGTCATTTGCCGTGACTCAACTTCCAGACACTCTCTAGGTGGTTTACAATTTTTATGCAGGCTACACATGCCCCACCTTAGAAGAACTGAAGGCTGAGTCACTCTTGAGTCACCTACCTGAATCCAATGGGATCAAACACAGGTTATGAACAGAGTATTCACTGCAGTACTGCAGTTTAACCAATGCACCATAAGGCTCCTATTTGACTTTGTCAGAGACTGTCCTGAAGGTGAAAATTAGATCCTTGCCAGACTGTTTGTCCTTGAACTTTCTGCAATGTGAGCAAATAACCCCCAGTTGAGATCTTCGATGACTGTGCTGTCTTCCTCAAACTGACCACGGTATTGCCTTTGTGTTGCCTTCCTTTGACTCCAGGTATGTAAAAACATATCTTCTTCCTGACAAATCCAATCACAGTAAGAGGAAAACTGCTGTCAAGAAGAAGACACTGGACCCCATCTTCAATGAGACCCTTAAGGTGAGGAGGGGGAAAAAGGACCTTTGGACAGAGGTTCCGTTGGTGCAAATGAGCTACCACTACTCCCGTCAACTTCAGATATTGCTGGACTCCAACTCCCATCAGTCCCCAATGAGTCAATGGGAATTGGGCTCCAGTGATGCTGGAGGGCCACAGGTTCTCAGGACACTCACTCAGTTCAAATGTGTGAGTGCCATAGTGTGAAGGTACATAGCACTGCGCCAAAGTCTATCCCTACTTCCTCTTCCTGTGTGAACTGGTAAAGTTCAGAACCCCCCCGCCCCCCCTGAAATGTTAACTAGTGGCTACTGTTGTGTTTCCTTTAAAGTTCCAACTTTTATTCTATGAAAGAAGCCCAACATGAGCTTTCAGTATTACGTTAGGTCAATTTTGAGTGGCAACTTAAGGGTTGCAACATGAGAGGTGATTCTTCAAACCAGGTGGTGCGATGAGATTGATATTAAGAGTTTCATATTTATATTGCACTTTTCTAATGACTGAACAACAGTGATCCAAATAACTTAGAATAACGAGTTCAGCATAGAGAAGGAAAATAATTTTTTTTTAGAATTTTAAAAACAATGTAAAATTGCAACCAAATGGCAGTGATTTAAAATATTAACCGGTATCAAGTTATTCAGTTTAAACATGCTGTCAGGTACCAGTTGCACATTGAAAGCTGACTAAAATAGCAAAAAAGTATTTACTGATTGTCTAAAGTGACCTTTCCCACTTTGGACCTCCCAGATCTTTCTTTCTTTCTTTCTTTCTTTCTTTCTTTCTTTCTTTCTTTCTTTCTTTCTTTCTTTCTTTCTTTCTTTCTTTCTTTCTTTCTTTCTTTCTTTCTTTCTTTCTTTCTTTCTTTCTTTCTGACTAAAATAGCAAAAAAGTATTTACTGATTGTCTAAAGTGACCTTCCCCACTTTGTACCTCTATCTATCTAGCTATCTAGCTAGCTAGCTTGCTTGCCTGCTTGCCTGCTTGCCTGCTTGCTTGCTTGCTTGCTTGAAAATTATGGATGTATGAAATGTAGGTAAAATTAAAAACAAAGTGTTAAGATAATGAGACGACTATTGTTGAGTAGAAGCGGGCTACTTCAATAGTGTTATTTTGGCCATTTGCTAGACATCTTTCGTACAGGTGTGGGCATCAATTGCATGCCCATAAATGCTCACCTTCCAGATGAGTTAGTTGGTCTACCATGTCCCTCATGCCTGTCCTGCCTCGCCATGCTGCCAGTCATAATCAGAGTTGTAGTCGGCCCGTTGGAGGGTACCAGGTTGAGGGAGGCTGGTCTAAAGGCTAGTTGAGAAGGGGGCTGTGAGATAATGGTTAGAGGCTCCTTCATGAGAAAGAGTTCCACAGTCACGTTGGGAGTAGTGCACTGAAGCTTGAGGGTTAAAAAAAGTGCTCCAGTTGTACTGCCGGATCTTGGAATTTGCTTGATTACATACTGAACTATTTATTGCCTTGTTCCCATTTTTCTTCACCCCCCCTCTCATTTCTGCTCTTCCACTTTCCTGCCCTTCTCTGCCACTTGCATGCAGTACAAGATTGAGAAGGCTAATCTTCAGGGCCGAATTTTGAACCTTTCTGTCTGGCATCATGACGCCTTGGGCCGAAATCTCTTCATGGGAGAAGTCGAGGTTACGTTGAATACCTGGGACTGGAGCAACACAAGTCCTCAGTGGTTTAATCTCCAGCCTAGGGTGAGTACTTAATTACAAATACTTCTTTCTCTCTACCCTTTCTTTTTGCTTGGGTCAGGCAACTATATAGACTCTCCATCCCAACTCTGAAAATATTGCTTCATAATACTCTCCATGTAGTGACAATTTTTGAAGTGTAGGTGCTCATTATGAGCCACATTCCAGAGGAGAGTCCAGAAATGCAGGCAGCTGGATCGATCATTACAAAAAAGTTCTTAGTGTATTCTTGAAGGCTAGAGAGCATGGACAGAGTTTCCTACTCCTGTTCCTCTGAAGGTGCCAGCCACAGAGACTGGCAAAATGTCAGGAAGAACAACCTTCAGAACACGGCCAAAGAGCCCGAAAAACCCACAACAAGTTCTTAGTGTCTTCGCCAGGAGCAGGTCTTGGTGAGTTTTGTAATTCTGCTTCTCTATTCAGGACCAAGCTACTCCAAAATAGTCGTCCTTGCAAAAGAGATGGATCATAATAATATATCCTTGCAGGAAAAAAATCTACTCTTTCTTCCCTGCTTCCCTCTGTTTGTTTGTTAGGACTGCAGCTAAACTTTGAGGGAACAGGGAAGCCTGCATGGGAATGGCAGATGATGTTACTGGGGCTACATATCAGAAGGGCTGGGACTTCAGCTTTGCAAACCCTGACTCCACTATAATATTGCTACACACTTGCAGGAAACACAATGAAAATGTGCTGTGAGCAAAGCTTGTCTCCTTTTTGCAAAAGTGTCTTAAGAACCTTTCCTTGAAGTGTTTCGTTGGGAGCTGAGTTCAGAACAGGTGATCCTTGAAGTCAAGCAGCTGGTCTCCTATCCCATCAAGGACCTGCCGTTGTGGTGCAACTGAAACTGGAGGAATGTTGCCCAAACTGTTGCACCCTTTTCTCCCTTGTGTTCTGCTTCCTCTTCTGCATTTTGAAATTTGTTCCTGGCACATTACCCACAAGAGGAAAGAGAATGTGTACTCACCGAGACTTCTGCTTGGTCAGTCCTGCTTCCCTTCCTCTAAACCCCAGAAATGAGCCAGAGTGGCTACATCTTTTATTGCACCCCATATGTTTTGGAAATGGAATTCCTTCCTCAGAGACTTTGCTAACATTCCTTCTTCTGGCTGCCTATCCCTCTCCAGGACGTGAGATAGAAGTAGGTATTTTCCATCTCCTACTTGCTCCTTTTGTCTAAATAATCCAAGGATCAAACATGGGGCTTTTTGCATGCAAACCACACACTTTGCTGTTAAATGACAGGACCCTGCCCTGTTAGGAGTGAGGTGGGAGTTTTATCCTTAGTCCTTGACAAGCAGTTCCATAGTCCTCCTCCTAGAATTCTAGCTGAATAAAAGGATGTATCTTTTTCTTTCTGTTTAAAGAACGTATTCATCGTCTCATACAACCTGATCGTTTCATGCATACTATGCTTTGTTATTTGCAAAGTACTCTGAATAGACTTCTGTGTTTAGCTGTGTTGCTGACCTTCCTTTGACCCATTTCACCTTTCCATTTCCTCAGACGCTGCTTGCTCCCGATAGTCTGTCCAGCCGGGGCAAGCTCAACCTGGCCATAAAGTTCATCCCTGCTGGATCAGAAGGTGAGACTGATGGCACTCTAGGTCCTATTAGTTTTTCTCCCCATTACAGTGTGCTGGCTTTAGAAAATGAGAAGCAACTAAGTTACTGGCTGTTAACTTCTAATTTCGATACTCAAGGATGCAGATGTGACTGCCCCCATGCAAAAAAACACGACTCCTGGAGGACCCCCAATAGTGAAAGAACAATCATCCCTCCATCCTTCTTTCCTTGAAAAAAGGTGTCTTTGTGCCCCAGGGCCATTCCATGTTTAGTGCAAAAATTATTACAGACGGAGTAATTTATTTGCCCACAATTCGTTTATAGTCAAGAGAAGACAGGTCTTTCCAACAGATCAGTTCTTGAGCAACTGCTCTTATGCAGCTGTGAGATTCTGGCAGGTGGACTTGACCTGGTGACTAAGGGACAATAATGAAGCTGTCAAGCAGATCTCCCCCAAGAGGAAATTCCAGCATTGGAGTGCAGCCTGGGAATAGGTCATCTTACTGGTAACCCAGCCGCCTAGAGTGGTCCTCACCGACCACCATCTTACTGGTAACCCAGTAAGTAAGTAGAGTATGAAGCAAATAAAGTAGTCTAGTCATTGCATAAGCTGAAAGGCCATGGCTGCTGGATGGATTTGCATGAGACAGATTTTTTTAAGCCTTAAATTATGGGCCTCACTTGTGGTCATGTTGCCTGGCCCCCAAGTAACGGTTCCCTGGGAATTATTAATTATTCCCTACATTGGACGTCAAGTTCCATTAGCCCTAAGAAGCCTAGCCAGTTGAGCATATTATTGGCACTGATTGTTGTTGGACATCAAGTTCCATTAGCCCTAAGAAGCATAGCCAGTTGAGCATATTATTGGCACTGATGCAATAATGAATGAGATGTTGCAAGCCAAATCTTTGGAGGGCCAGATGCCCTTGAGGGGCAACATGTGTTCTCATATTGACTCCAGCGGGGACATAAGAGAGAGGGCACGCGTGTGGCTGTGTCCTGCTTGTGGGCTCCCTTAGAGGCCTCTCACTGACCACTGTGGGGAACAGAACTCTAGGTTAGGTAGGGCTTTGAGCTGATATTGCAGAGCTCTTTCAGCCGTCTGGGTGGCGATGGCCTGCAACTGTCATCAGCTTGAGTCAACTTAGCCAATGGTGAGGGATGCTGGAATTTGCTGTCCAACTTCCGAAATGCCATAGATTGCCCACCCATCAGCACTACTTAACTTTGGTTTGGGTTGAAGCAGCTGAATTTGAAAAAAAAGGCCTTTTTTGGACTGGACCTCACAGAAGCCTTTGTCCAGCATAGATTCTGCCCCACAAAAGCAATATATTCCAAAAAACAAAAACGTGTCCAAACTTCAAGTCTGGCCATTAATGGGAGATTCCTGCATCAAGGAGCAGAGTGCGGTGAGAGGAGAGTTGCATATAAAAGTCTGTCCAGAGTCTCTTGGGACAAAAGCAGCTGTTGATCAAAATCACTTTCATCAGCATGTCTTTATTTCAGAGAAAGGGCTTCCTCCCACTGGGGAGCTCCACATCTGGGTGAAAGACGCACAGATCGTTCCCCGGCGAGGCAGCACAGCAGATTCTTTTGTGCAGTGGTAAGCATCACTATGTACTAGTTCTATGCTAGTGTGAAGGGTCTGGGCTAGCTCAGCTATGAGGAGGGGAAAAGGGTGATACAAATGCAAAGGGCAGTATGATGTACGGGTTAGAGTATAGGGCTAGAGTAAGAGATTGAGGGTCAAATTCCCGCTGGGCCATTTGGGTGAAACTCATCGGTGTGACTTTCTGGCAGTCTTTCAGTCGGACCTACCTCACAGGGCTATTGTGAGGATAAAAGACTGAGGAGACCTACAGTATATGTGGAGTTCATCGGAGTAATGGTGCAGTGTAAGTGTAACCATAAATAAACTACAACTTGATGTACGTACGAGTACAGAAAAAACAGACTTCTTCCCAGCAGAAAGCTAATCCACTGGGCAAAGAGTTGTGATGAGTTGCTTTGTCCGCCCTTGCTGTGCTAATTTTCTGTCTGCAGGGAGTCTCTTTGTTTACACGGAGGCTCATTCAGCTCCTTCGTCCACCCTTTCCACTCAGTATACTACTGATCTTTCCGCCATCTTGTTTTCCTACATGTGTCGCCTTGGTCCTCCTTTGTTGTTGTTTCCACCAAGGTGGTTTTCTCAGAATGAGAGTCCGACTAGAAATGATATGGGAGTTCCATGACTCTAATTTCTGATGACTTAGTCATAGTTATGACATAATAGACCCTCCTATCATTAACGGGGTTTAGTCAGTAAATACAGCAAAATCAATTGTATTTATGCGTGCTTTGACAAATTTCAGTGTGTACTCTAAGTATGACTCTTGTCTGTATCTAGCTCAATGTGCTTTGCACTGTGTTGGTGTCTAGAAGCAGAAATGCCCCAGGAGTCTGGGGTGCTTTATCAGTGTGAATGGCGGAAGTTCTGTTTCCCACTGGGGAGGGGCAAATTCTCCAGTCATCAGGAAAGACTTCCTCCATGGGAAGGAGAGGCACCGTCGTGCCTCAGCCTAGTTCAGGGCAGAGGCTTCTTGAAATCTTTGCCATCCTCACCAGAGCCTCCTCCTTTCAGCTACATCCTTCCAGATGACAGCAAGGCAAGCCGTCAGAGGACCCGCATTGTCAAAAAGAGCCTCAGCCCCACTTTCAACCACACCATGGTCTACGATGGCTTCCAGGCCAAAGACCTGGCTGAGGCCTGTGCTGAGTTCACCATCTGGGACCACCAGGCATTTTCCAAGCAGCAGCTGGGAGGCATCCGGCTGAGCCTGGGCACAGGTGAGAGAGGCACTGGGTGGGCTTGGCTCAGAGAACGGCTTTGTGGGGACAAAGTTTAGCCGGGTATGGCATTCCGAAGAAGTGTGTCACAACAGAAAGGAATGCAAGGTGTGCTCATTTGCATTAAAAAGGCTCATGAGTATGTTTTATTTTGAACATGATGGAATTATCGGAAACTTTAAGGCTGCATATGTAATTGGGGAGTAAACAGAACAATGTTTCTAAGCAAACATGCCTGTGAATAGGCAGTTGTTAAGCTTGCATGTGGTGTGGTATATGTACAGTGGACCCTCGACTTACAGACGGCTCGACTTAGACTTTTTGAGTTACCGACTTCTCTGGCTGCAAAATTTAAGTTTGACTTGCAGCCGGAGAATCGATCTACAGACCAGAAAAAAACCCAAAATGGAACAAAAATGGAACAAAAACGGCCGGTTATGGGATTAATCGGTTTTCAATGCCTTGTAGGTCAATGGAGACTCGACCTACATACTTTTCGACCTGCAGCCACCGTTCCAATACGGATAAATTCCGTAAGTAGAGGGCCAACCCATTGAACAGGAAGAGAAGGACTCAGCTTTCATGGTAGCAAGAAACCGTTACATGTGGGGTAGAGTTGTGGTGCTTTAATGTCATTAACCTTCCTTATTTCATGGCTGCACCCTCAGGACTCTTTCTCCTTTGCAAAAATTAGCTGCCAGAAACACTCGCCAGACTGGGGTGATGGTTGGTAGGGAAATGAAATATAACCACTTTCCTGCAGCTCCCAGACCCGTGATTTCCAGCAAAACAGCAGTTCTAGAAGGGGAAAATCATAGAATCATAATGTTGGACAGGGCCTATAAGGCCATCAAGTCCAACCCATTGCTCAATGCAGATATACAAATCAAAGGATATCTGCCAGGTGGTTGTCTAAATTTATCTTGAATGCCTTCAGTGTTGGAGCACTCACCACCTCTCAAGGTAATTGATTCCATTGCTGTACTGCTTCTTCCTGATATTCAACAAAAATCTAGCTTCCTGTAACTTTAGCCCATTGTTGCATGTCCTGCACTCTGGGATAATCGAGAACAGATCCTGCCCCTCCTCGGAATGATAGCCTTTCAAGTATTTGAAAAATGCTATCCTATCTCCTGTCATTCTTCTTTTCTCAAAGCTAAACATGCCCAGTTCTTTCAGTCCTCCCTCATATGATCAGGCCGAGCCTGATGCAACATCAGCTGGAGGGACCAAGTTTCCCAGAGTTTGATCAAACTCTGTTTCTTTATATGCTTTGGTTCCTAATTTAGACTGGAGGTTCCACATCTGTTCAATACAAATTGGAACGCTGGTGAAAAAAAAATCTGTTTAGTATATGAAGGAGGACAGTTATAGTTTGGGGACTTATTAGAACCTCTGATTTTTACACAGGGAAAAGCTATGGCCTGCCAGTTCCCTGGATGGATTCAACCGAGGAGGAGTGCCATACCTGGGAGATGGTCTTCAAGCAGCCTCAGCAGTGGGTGGAAGCTGGACTTCCTCTGAGGACCAACCTGACCCCTAGGACTTAATCCCACCATAATTTGGCCAGTCTTGACTAGGACATCCGCACTTGGTGGGGCAATGGCAAAATGATGATCTAGGAGGACAGGATGGACATGAACTGAGAATCCCCTTTGTCCTCCAGAATCCCATTACAGCAACACTGAAGGGGCCACCCCGGCAAAGTTTCCTGAGTGTCTTGAAACTCCAGAAACACATCCACCTGAACAGAATCTTGCTACCCCATACCAGGAACATTGGCTGAAAGCATGAAGTAAGCAAGGCCCCCATCAGTGGCATATTTTTATGCAGGACAAGATTAGGCAAGACCCCCATCAGTGGCATATTTTTATGCAGGACTTGCGTTGGGAGACATAGATCTGCATAGAGGAGTTTGCCCACCAATAATAACCACACATGCTATCTTATGCCTTCCCCACCCTCCTTACAGTCTTTCTCGCACACTATCGACACTGAGCTTACTCAACTGTTTCGTTAACCTCATTATGCCTCCCTCACATCTCCAGCCTTGTTTCAATACAAAGAAACTCAAAACAGACCCCTTGGTAAAGTCTTTCTGTTTTGTTGTTTTTGGCTGTTCAGCAGGACGGGTGGTTCCCATCAATGCTTGCTGCTGAGCCTAGCATTGCGGTCTCTTGAGTTATCTGTCACAGGTTGTGTGGAGTCGTTTCCAACATTGTGGAATACACTTCATTAGTTAATGGCAACAATTCAGCAAGAATCTCCTGAAGTTTCCCTTCTCTAGGGTACTCGCAAGGTCAAACTGAAAATCCAATTAAAATCCAGGCCATGGAAAGAAACAAGTGTGTTCGTTCCTCTCCAAATTCAACGGTGATAAAGAGAGCAGGCGTCCTCCGCCAATCTGCATAGATAGACTTCTGCAGAAACTTGGGTCTGTGACGTTTTCCTCATCACCTTATTTTGCCCAGTGGGGCTAGAACAAATTGCCGTCCCAAAACTTTTCCAACACCAAGGAAAGCTGGTAAAGACAATTCATATTTTGTATTCGCCTTCGCGAATACAAAATTCATATTAGTTCATTGTGTGGACAGACAAGCCTGGAATCCTGTGGTTTTGTCTGTCCGCCTTTACTGCCCAGCAGCAAAGTTCTTTCTGTATGCCACAGAGTCTGTAGCCTCTCAAACAGATCCAGAGTTTTCCTTGGTTTCTTGCTCTCGGTCAGCATCATCTTTTAACGGCTGATGCCGGTGTTCTAAGATGGCTCTCCAGATGCGGCACACCATCCCTCCTCTGCAAAAAGAAGAAAGACAAAAGTCAGCCTTGAGTTTGTTATGTTGCACCTACGCTGGGACTTTCAGCGTTCCGATTAAGTACGCCAGTGGTAGACGCAGCTGACTATGTGGACAACCTTCCAAGACACTGGAGCATTCAGAACTTCCAATAAAACCAGAAGTAATAGTTTTTTTGGGTTCTGCTTGAAAAGCTGCATCAGTCACTGTAATTCTCATAACCCATAAACTGTGTGTCTTGAATGGCTCCTTTTTTAAATGTTAAGAGGCAACAATTGCTGGTTCCTCTTGGAGTGGGTACGTTTGGGCCTCTCCTTTAGGTTGTGAGAGTCCATAACTAAGTCAGATTGGTAGTTTGCTTAAATTTGGGGAGGACTCAGGGAGCATCCCAACTGTCTCTCTGGATCAAACAGGGATCCTTCTGAGATTAAGGAGGAAGGGCTTAGCCTCCTTGGGTGGGACCCACAATTTGCAAGTAGGAAGGGTTCCAAGTTCAGTTCCCAGCACCTTCAGTTAGGGCAAGGAAGCAATCCTGCCTGGGATGCTGGCCACGTGGTGCTGCTCAGTGGAGCTGACACAGATAAGCTAGTTCAAGGCATCTTCCTCTAGCCATCCGTGCAAATGAAAAAATGAGCCCTTGAGAAGAGATTATATGTCAGGTATATGAGATGTCTGTTTGCAGAGCAATGTTTCAGTAACAACGCATTTAAAATATATGATCCCCATCTCCAGAAGGTCCCAAGCTATGCTTTGGACTACAGCTCCCACATTCTTTTCACTGGCCACCATCAGTGAGGCTGGTGGCAACTATGGGCCAAAACCAAAGAGCCTAAAATTACCCATTGTTGGTTAAACAGAATTGATTTGTTGTAAAGCAGCCTTTGGTCTAAGAGTGGTGGTTTGGCTGCTGCGGGGGAGCAAAGCAGATCTCTTTCTCCTGGTATCCATATAAACTGCCTTCTGCTATGGAAGTTTCATTAAACTTTTCTGTAATAACTACAAGAGAAAATATATCGCACAATAAACCAGAGCTCAGAAGCTAGTGATCATCTAGACATTGTTAAACTGCAACTCATTAGTCACTGCTGCTGGCTACTAGGGCTGAGGGAGCTACAGCCCAATAACATCTGGAAGGCCACAGGCTCCCTAGCTCTGGAATAACCCAGTTCTCCAATTCCTGGTTAGATGTGACGATGGCATATGGAGTCAAATGTGAAACGGGATGAGAGAGCAAGGAGAAGCCTACCTGATACATGTGTACCGGAGGTCATCAGCCGTAGCACAGTTCAGCAGGACAGGCAGAGTGAAGCCATGATGTAAGAGCTGAGGGAAAAAATGAGATGCTTTTATTGTGGCTACATGGAAGGATCTTTGTTGTCTTCATGGCTGGAAACGCTAAGAGGTCTACAGAGTTGCTGGCAAGACCTGCTTTGGAGGTAATCCAGCTCTCCTCAAAGAAGGACCCTCCATGTATCTTGGGAGCCTGTGTTCCCTTGTTTTCAACCACTGTGGTCATAGATGATCCTTGTTGCAGATAACGGGCTGTGTGTGTATTTTTAACTTGCCCAGAGGGCACCTAGTTGGAAAAGTCTGCAAGAACAGGCAAAGCCTGGCTGTCTAGGGCAGGGGTGTCCAACCTTTCACCTTCCCTGGGCCACATTAGAAGATGAAAATTTGGTTTGGGCCACATGGGGAGGCAGCCCTAGCCATCCTCCGCAGCCCCGCTCCAAGCGTGCTTGCCGGCAGCTGCGATCTCAGACAGCAGAGACTGCCAGCTTCGACTCCAGTGGCTTTATGGGGCCGGGAGGGGGTCCACCTATTGACGGGGATGGCGCAATGCAGTCACGCAGCCCCTCTGTCCCCTCCCCTCCCACTCCTTCCTTCCTTCCCTCTTTCCCCCTCTACTGTTGTGAAATGCCCCGGCCACATTCCGGCTGCAAGCGCCGACAGTGTAACTTGAAACTTTGGAATTTCTTTAAAAATAAAAAATTGCACTGGGCTGCATTACGAGCTGACCTGGGCTGCATGCGGCCCTCGGGTCGCGGGTTGGACAAGCCTGGTCTAGATGATGTTAGGTGACCATTCCCATCACCCCTTATGCGCACCTATGCTGGCAAGGGTAGATGGGAGTAGCAGTCCAGCAGGGCCTTCTGAAGGGACACCTACTGAACACTGAAACTGGGCTACAGAAAGCATTGACCAGGCAAGGAGTAAGAAGGATCTTACAGTCCACCAGTGTATAGTATTTAGTCCCCTTTATCAGCTATATTGAGACTTGGTGACATGGAGTAATTTAAAGCCACTTTAAAGCATAGGTGAGCAATAATAGTCTGTGTAAATGTAGGTAACGACAGACTAGTATTTAACCAATCATCTGTTAGAGGCTGCTTGCCAGTAACTGGTTAGCTGTTAGAGGCTGCTGTTAGAGGCTGCTTGCCAGTAACTGGTTCTTTTCATGGTAATCTGTGAACTCACACTTGTGTTCCCGAATCTTCCATAGCTGAGCATTAGTGTCTTGGCAGGAGCTGCACATTTAGTCCTGCACCTTGACTGCTGACATCAGTGCTGTCAATATTCAGGTTAGCCTTTGCCTTGTAACACTTGGCATCTTTTTTCCCCTCCTGGCAAGGCAGGCGTGATATTGCAAAGCAGTGTCCTTGCCTTTTGAATCATGGATCCAAGTCATCTCACACATTCTCAAACTGGAGATTTTTTTTAGAAGGATTTGATTATATGACGACTGCCTGATCCGTACTGTGGCTGTGGGATGGAGCGGGGACAGAACCAAGAACAGCAGGGATGCGTCTGCAGTCCCTCTGTGCCAAGAGACTTTGAAGGGCAGGTTGAGTTTAATGGACAAAATCCTGTTTTGGCCAGTATAACATAAACGTATGATGATGTAAATGTGCTGGGTGTTCATGCCAGGCAACAAGGAATTATGCTATGCAACTGCACGTTCGGTTGCATGCCTTCAGCATGATGAATTGCACAATGGAAGTACTTCAAGGACAGGACTTCTAGCTTGGGTGCAAACTCACGTTATGTGCGTGCATTTGTCCAACAGGATTTTGGCCATTGAAATGGTGAGGCAAAGGCATGAGGGAGTGTAGCATGTACAGGTGGAGAAACATGCACACCCTTTAATCTCTCTGGTATACTCATGTTGCTGCTGCTGTTACTGCTGATGGTATTCTGCTTTGCTCCCAGTGAAAGATTCCGAGTCCCTTTAGCTCTGACCTTTAATATCAGACAAAGCAAACACAGTCCTCAATGATTCCTAATTTGGTTGGGCTAGTGGGCTGGATGTCACAAAAACTGAAATATGACAAGACTGCTAACTTTTTAGGTGTCACCAGATCATGTGCTTTTTAGAGAGACAACCAGATTTGATTTGATTTTAAAACCACATCATTGCTATTTAAAATAAAATGATATTTTCTTTTAGGTTCATTTAGAACATGAAATCTTTAAAAAAGAGAGAGAGAGAATGTAATGCCATCCACCAACAATTTACATGGCACATTGTTGGCAGCATGGCCCTCTTCAAAAAGCATTATGAAAATATAAATGTAAAATTTACTCCATTTGTTCAGAAGACTCAGGTTCATGGCCCACTTGGCCTTGACATTCACTGGATCACCTGGACATTGTCTCTCCGACTAGCCACTTTGTTGGGTTGCTTATCCGGATCAAACAACATACACGTTCAAACAAAGAAATACAGTGAAGGAGACCTCTGTGCACCACTTTCAGCTCCTTTGAGGAAGGACAGGGGATGAATATAATAGCCAGAATCCTTTTGTGTAGCTTCGCAAATGGAACAACGTCTGGAAGCCAAAAGCCCCAAGTTAAGAAATCACCAGAGAAATTATTGCTTGCACACCAAGTCAGAGAACTCAATATGCAACCGGTAACACTTACACTGATTTCGTATCTAGAGAAAAATTGTAAATATTACTCCATTATCTGCAAAGACAGTCAAAGGGATGCTCGGGCATGAATGATTCCCTGAACCCAACCATGCCAGCATCACCAAAAATGTGTCCAAATGTGTTCAAAGGAGGGACAGAGGGAGCAACAGTCAAGTTCCAATTGTTATGTGCTTCTCCGCTCCAGTTGCACTGATCCCTCTACAGCAGGGAAGGACATCAGCCCTGGCCAGCAGAGCTAAAAGTGGAATATTTGGGGAGCTGCATTCCCAGAATGCCTGGAGGGCCAGAGTTGTTATGGCTACTCTTGAGTACAGCATGTAGACTAGATAGCGATCTTCCAATTTGCAAACCCCTTCCTTGAGGTAGGCAACTTCGGTCCTTTACCCTAATTGCAAAAGCTCTCTGCCAGCAATCCTTTCAGATGTCTGACAAAAAGAACCTATTCCCAGCAACTTGCTCCAGGGAAGGGAGAGAGAGGAAGGGAGGGCAGGAAAGAAGAGAAGGGGTGGTCCCAGCCATCCTTGGCTTCAACCCTGCCTTGCTATCAGCACTCCCAGCAGGATAGTCCCGAGAAATGTGCCCCTTAACTGTAGGAAGAAGCCAGTGTGAGGCAATGGTTAAGAGAGCAGAAGGAGGAACCAGGATCTAGGGAGGGAGGGGAGGCGGGGGAAGGAAGATAAGGTGGAAAGAAAGAGAAAACAGATTCTGCAAACTTGAATCCTGCCCAGTTCTGCCTTCAGTAAACAAAACCCACAATGCACAGGAAGCCTCTTTTCTGTTCTACCAGTTTCTAAAGGGAAGCTACATTATGCTGTTGCAATGAAAACAACAGGAATCTTGGGGGACCTTAACAGCTAAAAAAACTAAGCTTTCCTGCAGTGCAGCCCATTTTAAGTCACAACATCCTTATCCTGCTGAACAAGAGCACACATTGCACGGAAGCAGACTCTAAGGGGGCAGCCATGTTTGTGTGCAAAAAGAGATATGCAAAACAGCCAAGAGTTGTGTAACATCTCGAAAATGACTGGTTTCATTTAGTTATCTTTCCCAGAATACACGTACAGTACACCCCATTTCATCACATGCATCTGTAAAATTGGGTCACATTCAGTGAATGGTCACATCAAACAAAACTTCTAAAGTGTTTAATGTTCAAGAAATACTACAGACTTTGGATGTATAATTCTTAAAACTCCTATAGAGATATGACTCATACTGCAAATTTCTCTACTTTGCAAATGTACATTTGCATCCGGTAGTGATGCTGTTGTAGTGTGTATGACACAAGTGTGTATGACACAAGAAGGGAAGCCTTCGAGCCTGGAGCAAACAATATGCATCGCTGATTCTCTGCTTCACCTCTAAGCCTTGGCACCTAACAAGGTGCTGAGGTCTACACTGTCCCCAGACTCTGAGGCTCTAGTGGGGAACTAAGGCTGAGATAGTAAGAGAGCCCAACAGACAATAGGCCTGTTTAGTTTTGTTCAGCACCAGGCACTACGTTTCCCACACTAGCCACCTAAAGTGTGGCCATCTCCACCTAAGCCACAAAACTCACTGCATGACCTTGGCTCAGTCATTCTCTCTTAGCCTGACCTACCTCAGAGGTTGCTGTGAAGACAAAATGAAGAGGGGAGAGTTATGCACACCGTTTTGAGCTCCCTGGTGAGGTATGAATGGAAAGGGCCAACTATGTGCGGTGGAGCTTTCTTCCCGGATAAATGGCCAAATCCAAAAGCCTGCAAACTGCACCAGTCTACCCAGACATCAACCCTATATCATCTGGGTAAACTGGGTCTAAGAGCCAGTGTGATGTAATGAAGGGTCGGATTAGGACTCAGGAGACCTCCATTCAAATCAGGACTTCACAGGAAAACCTTCTGGGCATGGCAATGGTAAACCATCTTTGAACGTTTACATCCCTTAAAAAGCATAGTACATGAATCAGTATGGTATAAGAGACAGAGTGCTGGATGAGGACCGAGGGGACTTGGGTTCACATCCCTCCTTGCATGGCGATGGAAACTTACTGAGGAGGAGCAAAAGCAAACCACTTCTTGAATATCCCACACAAGCTCCAAAGCCTTATTAGGATCACCAAAAGCTGGAAGGGACAGGATGGCCCATTACTGTCAAACCTCAGCTGTGGTTCTTCTCCCCAATAACTTGCAATGTGGTGGTAAAATTTTTAGTCTACCTTGCCAATATAGTAGTAAGGACTGTTGAGGCCCTTTGATCTGGAGCTTTTAGGGGAACAGGAAGTCTGCTAAGGCCATAAGAGAGATGGGAAGAGGGAAGCCTTCCCCCCACTTAGGCCCAGGTAGAGACAGATTCTCTTCCTCCTTTTCCTTCCCTTCTACCTTGCAGGTCTGTGGAAATACAGCCACCTCAGACAGAGAAGGACCGTTTCAACTGAAACCGCACAACATTTCTTTGTAGTTACATAGGGACTCACACCACAAAGATCTAGAACCACATGTAAACCACTGTCCTTGGCACTGGCATCTGTAACACAGAGACTAACTGTAAAGTCAACGATTGGGCAACAGTACCCAGGATGATGCCCCAGAGCTAGGAGCCTGCAAAACAGCAGTGCCTAAGTCAAGGTCTCACATGCAACTGATGCAGCTGTAGTTGTAACTGACACAACTGTAACTCTTGTTGAAGGTGCTGATATCAGTTGCTGAGATGATGTAACTGATAACCATCCTTTGTGTTGCAAATGTAGTCTATAAGAATTGTGTTAAAACCTATCATGTTGTGAACCTATCATGGGATGTCCATGTGAAGGCAACTGTCTTCTATGGTAGGAGTTGTAGTCTTCATGTGTTCACAACTGATGATACCAGGGTTTATTGGAAACATGTTCTCCATAGTAATGTGGTATGGGGACGTATAGTCCCAAGCACAGGAGATCAATTCATTTTTTTACTTTAAAACCATATAAAACTGCCTCTCCTCCAGGCACATAGATACACCAAAATTGCAGAGAAGCTTCCCTTGATGCTCCTCCAGAAGCCCTGCAAGTTTGGGTGTCGGTTATCTGAGTTATACACCCACAAAGAGCGCCTACCCAGGAGAGTCCCCCCCCCAGGCATCTAGGGACACCAACATCACTCAGAAAGCTTCCATCTACTCTCCTTTACAATCCCTTGAAGATTGGGTTTTGGACCTCTGAGTTACACACCCACAAAGTGGGTCCCCCAGGAAAGTGTCCTTTAGCAGTTGGCTTGGGGAAACCCAATCTTCACCAAACCTGGAGGGATTGTAGAGGAGATTCAGTAGAAGTATCTCTGTGATTTTGGAGTCTCTGGGTGCCTGGAGGGGGCTCTTTGTAGGTGTATAACTTGGACATCCAAAACCCAATCTTCACCAATCTTGAATGTATTGTAGAGGAGAGCTTCTCTGCAATTTTGGTGTCTCTAGGTGCCTGGGGTACCACGTTATAGCCTAACAAATAAATGAATCAAACACTGCAAAAATTGATTCGTATTCATCGCGGGGTACTTATTTGTACAAATATAATTCGATGAATTAGTAATCCTGATGAATTTTGCAATTCATTTTAAAATTTGTGCCCATCTCTAATTAAGACTCAGGACACCTGGGTTGGAGTCCCCAGCTCTGCCATGGAAACTCACAAGGGGAGAGGGGACCTGGTAAAGCCACTCTAAATATCTCAGTTACCTTGAAAACCATATTACGGTCACTATAAATCAGTTCTGACTTGACGGCAGAGGTGGATTAACATGGGGATAAAGTGGATATAAAGAGGTATAAATGAACTGGCCAGTCCCCTTTATATCTTTGTATCTTTAACTGCATGAGAACACACTGAGTGTGTGAGTCTGATGTATCATGACTTTTAGTGATGGACTCATCAGGAATTGTAATTGCTGGCAATGGGTTTTGGTGAGTTAAGATAGCCGAATCCTTTTTGGCTTTTTCTTCCCTTTTAGGATTGAAGGATTTGTTCAGCTTGAGGATATTGAGGAAGCACATTCTGATGGTGATCTCAGTAGTGACAGTACCAAAGGTGGCTATATCAACAAAGGTTCGCCTGGTGGAATGGTGGTCACAGAAATTGAAGTGGACATCACTTCATTCAGTGTTGAAGATAAATGAGAGACTGCTACAGATTTCAGAGATAAAGACTGAGCTTTCTGTAGGGATTCAGATGAGAATATAACCTTCCGCCAGAGGTGCTCTGAGATAAAATTCACTCTCTCTCTGTTCCCAGGGCATGAATGTTAAACACTGCCAACATTAAAGACCTGCATGTTATGGCACTCCCTTAGATGAAGGAGACACTTGGAGTGTCCATGTAAGATCAGGATTTTGGCTCTGTGGGCCACACAATTCTTGAAGGATTGTAGACCCATAAAGCAGACTCAAAATCAGAAGCCAAAGACGAAAAATAAATAAATAAATAAATAACTCTACTAATTGTTAAGAATATGGAAGCACCTCAATTAAGGTATTTCTGGATCCATTTGAGGGATTTCTGAATTTTAAGAATATGGAAGCACCTCAATTAAGGTATTTCTGGATCCATTTGAGGGGTGCAGTTCATCACTAAAATATATACACACTTGTAAGAGTGACTAAGAAACAGAAGGGGTTTTAGCAAAACCTTCTTCTGGAGCAACCGAAAAAGGCAGAAGCCTAAATGTGTAAGGAAAGACCTACAATAAATATTTTCAAACTGCAACAAAGGAGATTCCCACTGGAGCGATTCCTGAACTTTGCCCTCTCAGCAAAGGACAAAAAGGAACTGAGGGAAAAGGGAGGGAAAACAGTGAGGATGTGTGCATTGGGAGAGCAGGCTGCACCCAAATGCTAACACTCAGCTATAGAAAATTCCAGAACATTCTGCACAGGGTCAGAAAGATGCCTAAGGGGTGAGTCACAGAGACCATGAAGAAGAACAACGTAAGCGAGTGAGTGGGCGCACAGAGTAGATGGAGTGTGCGTCATCACAGAAAGGAAAGCCAGTGTGGGTGTAATGGGTAAAATATTTGATGCAGACTTGGGGAATTTAGCTTGTAGCCCCAATGAGTCATAAAACTCAGTGTTTTATGTCAATCAGTCTACCTTACAAGGTGGTTGTGAAAAACGAAGCATGTATTATGTCTTCAGCTCAAGGTAGAAAAAAACAGCAGACATAAATGCAACTCAGAAAAAGAAACAGATGCAACAGGAGGAGATATAGTGGCGCTTGGAAGCTGGTTTCTGGACTACAGCTGTTAGGATCCTCCAATCAGTATAAGAGCTGGGGATTCTGGGAGTTATAGTCCCCAATGCAACTTTTCCCAATCTCTGTCTGGGACACAGGCCTCTGCTGCAAACTTTTTGCAGCCTATTAAGTTTGGGGTGTGTGTGCTTATTTACAGCACACCCAGAGTCAGGCAAGCCGCCACCTTCCAGAAGTTGTTTTACCCAATGACCTCACAGTTGGCTTTAATCCCTATAGGCCGACAACATCTGGAGGAATATGATTTAACCATTGCTGTGGATAGCAAAGCCTGTAGCTGGGAGTATTTATCTCCTCATTTGGACTTGCTCCTAGCAACGGAAAGCAGATGCTCCAAATCTTGCTAGCCTCAGTGATTCCTACTGAGTTCTCTCTCATGGATCCTGTCACACCTCATTGGAAGCCTTAGCTCCACATGAGAATGACCATATTGCTTTGGATCGGGTTATCTTTCAAGGGAGGATGTTTATAAAGTTCAGCTGCTTCCATTTCAGGGCCATTGTTCAAAGCAAGGATAGAAAACAGCTGGCCCTCCAGATGCTGTTAGACCACAACTCCTATCAGAACATGCCGACACATCCACTGGATGGATGGATGGATGGATGGAACTTGTATTCCAGCAACATCTGGAGGGCTTAACATTTGTCTTCACTTGCTTAAGTCAAAGCACTTGAGCCAGCTTGCAGGCAGGAGTTTTTCTCTGCTAACCACCTTCTTCAAATTAGCAATTGTGGCGGGAGGCAAGAGCCGAGGCAAATAGCTTCTCCCCTTCAAAAATCACCCACCTTGGCAACTGTATCTTTGTCTGCTCCAAGTTTTTCTAACCATTTGGTCAATGGTGGATCTGCAACCACGTCTTCTTCTTTCTCCCCACAAAGCGTCGAGGGGGTAAAGACTTCTGGGGAAGCAGAAGGAAAGAAAGACGTTCAGTGTTCCACATTAAACTAGCTTCTGCCTCGTAAACCCACACACAGTGACACTTCCACAGCTTTTTCGCTTCAGGAAGCTTTTAATGTTGAAAGATACCTCAAAATCCAAGCATCGCAGGATTCATCTATGAGGTGAAAGAAAGCACAGTTGCTTCCTTCTTATTACACTTGCTGTTAAGAGCAATTTGTGGAAATTCATGCTTCACAAATTCACATCAAGATGTCTTTTGTTTCAGTTCCTTTCCACATCAAGGAAGGCCAAGAGCAACCTTGTCTTGTGACACTTTAATTAATTGTTTCTGGTGCCCAGATCCAGATTACACTGGGATAGCTGCACCAACAAGATTTTGCCCAATGTCTCAATGGTAGGGCACATACCGTATTTTTCGCACCATGACACACTTTTCCCCCACAAAACAGGTGGGTGGAAAGTCTGTGCGTCTTATGGAGCGAAGAAAACAGATTATATTTTCCTGTTTTCTTCTCTTAAAAAATTGGTACATCTTATGGAAAGGTGCGTCTTATGGAGGGAAAATACGGTAATTTGCAGGCTGAACCTTTTATCATTTGAAAGAACTGGGTCCCAGGTGATGAAAAAGGGGCCTACCAGTCAGTGTAGAGGTTACTGAACTAGACAAAAGTATAATCTAGTCTATGACAACTTCTTAGGAGAAATTAGCCACAACACACTGACTTCCAGAGAATGAGGCAGAGCTTTAAAGCTACCATTTAAGTTCTTTTCATGTAGCCAAACCAAAATTGTATGAAGTAAAAGCACCTACACACAAACCTGTATAATTGTATCAGGTTACAAAATTTAGCTTTTTTTCACTATAGGATCTGGACTGGTTGGGTGCCAAATTTTTTAATTTGTTTATCAAGGTCCAAATGCATCACTGCAGGTGACAGCTCAGGAGACAGTAAGGATGTAACAAATGCTAACACATTTTCTAGTCCTCTGCTAAGGAGACACAGGGGCCAAATTCTTACTGTGCAACTACAACCATACAGCTTGAAAATGTGCATGTGCTAGCTGTGTTGGTGCCAAGATGGGGGTGCTATTCCTGTACCACCGGCACGTGGTGCAATGAGTTTTGCACCAGGGATCTGCTACCAGTTGTGCAATTCCATAGCACAACTCCTTGTTGCCAGGCATAACATTTATGCTGGTGCAACTTTGCATTACCACCAACATGAACACAATAGTAGCCAATGAGGCATCCATCTATCAAAACAATAGATCACTGCTATCCACCAACATGAGCACAATAGTAGCCAGTGAGGCACCCATCTATCAAAACAATAGATCACTGCTATGAGATTTCTTTGCTCCCATAGAGAAGCAAAAAGACTGTCACTTTTTCCAGCAGCAGGAACCTCTGTCAAAAAAAAAAAATTCAAAAACATGTCCTTTTGCACACAAGTGTTTTGCACAAAGTATAAGATTTTCTCCAAAAAATATTGCTTGTTTGCAGTAAAAATATACAACAGGGTTTTTTTTTGGTGCAGAAAAATACATGAAAACTCTCCTAATTTTACCTAGTGGGGAGAAAATTTATAATTTCTGCATACATTTCTGCATACAATAAGCAAAAATTTACATTCCTAGTATGCGAGAGACTCTTGAGTCACTGATTCTACCCAAATCCTGCTGCAACCAATGACCTTACGTGTTGGCTTTGAGTTTCTTATTGTCCAGGCATCCTTCTCTACAGCCTGCAGCGCTTCCAGCAGAAGCCCCTGGAATTCACGCTCCTTCTCCATCAGCTTCCACTGCAATCTGGGAGAGCAGAAAGGATCATCTGAAGTGGCTCAAGGTGCGTATAAAAGAAGTGCAGCCTTGTCATGAATAGGCAGAATTGAAGAAAATGTGGCCCTCTAGATGTTTCTCACCTTCAGTACCCTTTACCCCCAGTAACCATGGCCAGTAGCCAGCCAAGGGTGTAAATTGTACACAAGAACATCTGGAGGGCTGCAATACTTCACTGCTGGATATAAGAGCAGAAACACATCTGGTTCATAGCAAAAAGCATAAGAAAAGGGGGCAACCCAAAGCTAATGGCGGCTCATTCTTTAATGAAATATTATTGGAAAAATTTCACCTCCAAGTCTCAGGGATTATCGTAGAATCATAGATCCACAGAAGTTGGAAGGGGCCTATAAGGTCATTGAGTCCAACTTCCTGCTCAATGCAGAAATACAAATCAAAGGATATCTGCCAGGTGGCAATCTAAATTCATCTTGGATGTCTCCAGTGTTGAAGCACTCACCACCTCTCAAGGTAATTGGTTCCATTGCCGTACTGCTCTAACAGTTAGGAAGTTTTTCCTGATATTCAACTGAAATCTGGCTTCTTTTAACTTGAGCCCATTACTGTGTGTCTTGAACTCTGGGATAATCGAGAACAGATCCTGCCCCTCCTCTGTATGACAGCCTTTCAAGTATTTGAAGAATGCTATCCTATCTCCAATCAGTCTTCTTTTCCCAAGGCTAAACATGACCAGTTCTTTCAGTCTTTCCTCATAATGCTTTCATTTCCAGCCCCCTGATCATCCTTGTTGCCCTCCTCTAAACTTGTTCCAATTTGTTGGCATCCTTTTTGAAGTGCCATGTCCAGAACTGGACACAATACTCACGATGAAGGCTAACCAGTGACAGTTCCCTTTTTGCACCCTTTCCAAATCTCACTGCATCACCAAATCTGATCATTTGGGAAATTCCCACACAAAATTTTAGGACTCTTTTTACAAACATTTGAACCACAAATGTGTTGTGGCCTGCCATGCCGCCTTTAATTTTATTTATATGCTGCTTTTCTCCCAATAAAAGGGACACAAGGCAGTTCACAAAATATTTAAAATATAAATGGGTAACCAATTACAATATTAAAAAGCAATTCTTATTTGTCCAGCATCCAGAGTTGATACCATTCTGAGCTCTATCTAGTGCAATTTGACTAGTTCTTAATCTGCCTCCAGGTTCCCTCAGATTTCTCTTCTTTGTCTAGTTATTCCTTTTCCCCTGGTTGAGAACCACGTGGCACTGAAGTACTCTGATTTAGGGTTCCTGTATTATTCCTGTTGTGGACTCTTCGGTCTCCCAGAAAAGGTGGAAAACTTGAGAACCCTTTCCTTGGCAACCAGCCATTCCTTGGGAGACTCCCTAAACAGAAAGGTCTTTATCTGCCAATGGAAGAACAGCAGGGAAGGAGCCCGCCGGGCCTCACTCTGGAAGGGGTGCCCCAGTTTGGTAACAACCACTGATGGCTCTCCCCTCCCTCGTGTCCACATGCCACCTTTTAATCGGTCTTCAACATCTTAATCCAATCTGCCTCAAATGGATGTGTCCATAATTATTGAACTGTTACTTCCATCACTCCAAAGTAGCATTGGATTGGTTGGGAGTAATCGGCCAAACAGCTGGAGGGGAAGGAAAGGCTTAGTATAATTGACTACAGTGATGCCTTGCAAGACAAAAATAATTCGTTTCGCGAGTCATTTTGTATTGTGAAATTTTTGTCTTGCAAAGCGTGGCTTCCCGTAGGAATGCACTGGAATTTAATTAATGCATTCCTATTCATCTTGCGAAGCATGGCCATAGAAAAATTCATCTTGTGAGTCACCAGAAATAAAAAAAATCGCACAATGCTTTCGTCTTGCAAGTTTTTCGTTGCGCAAGGCATTCATCTTACGAGGCATCACTGTAGTTTTCTCTTGCACTTCTAATCAGAGATGTTGGCAAGTTTTTGGTTCTGAGGCCGTATCAGAAACAAGTTTTTCTCCCCAGAAAAAAAGGGAGGTGTGGTTGGGTTCTGAGTCACAAGTCGAGTCTGAAAAACAACAACAACCCAACCTGAGTTGAATCCAAGTCCAAGTCGCCAGTGCGACTTAAGTCCGATTTGACAGTGTGTCTTGCGACTCAGGTCCCCATCCCTGCAAGAAGCCTGACGAATGCTAAACAAACTCTCCTGGCGCTCCGATGCAGTAAGTCCTGATTATACTACAGCACTGTCACTGTCACTCAACACCGTCATCAAATGAAGTTGGGAAGAGCTTACCTTCTCGTTTCTACCTGTAAATGATCAATCTGGGACATGAGAGGCAAACGGTCCTTCAATGGATGCTGGGAGTCTAGCCAGCTGCTGGTGGCGGTGCCAACTCCAGAACTTGAAGTCTCTGCGCCATCCCTGAGAATGCAGTCTTGACTTTTCGAAGGCGACGTCTCCTGGATCGAAAGGCCATCGGCTTCCTCCTCTGCTTGGCTCAGGGGTTCAAGGCAACCTGTCCCTTGTAAAAGCTGTGGCTTCAAGTTAAATTCTGGAAGTACCAAGGAAGGCAAAATAAAAAGTGGAAAGATATTTACTTGATATAGGCACAAATGAGAGTTCGCAGCTCAGAATTAAAATATGAATTTTACAACACAGAAGACCCTTTGTCTAAGGAGACTGCCAGCTAGGAAATTCTCTGCTCAAGACCCTAGAAAACCATTTCCTGTGTTTATTTACTGAAGCAGACTCATATCGGTTCCATGACAACGTTCAGTGTCGAGACCACTTGGGCAAGCATGGCCATTACACGAAGGGAGGTAGTAGCTGCCTCAAGTGACAGACATTAGGGGTGCGGACACGAAATAATGGCCGGGCAGCACGCATGTGACCTGCACCCTCTTGCAGAGTGGAAATAAGGGTCAACTTTCATTTCAGTTTTGTATATGGAATGGGAAGTGTGGTGGGCATGGAAATGCATATGAGTGGTCGACCAGACCAGATGGGTGGGATATACATCAATCAATCAATCAATCAATCAATCAATCAATCAATCAAACAAACAAACAAACAAACAAACAAATAAATAAATATGAAGTCACCCAGATTTTGAAAAAAAAATTATTTAGTAAATGTATATCTCAATTTTTCCACAGTAAACTCCAGGTGGTGTGCCTCTAGGCTCTCTTCCTCCCACATTATCCTCACAACAGCCTCTGAGTTAGTCATCCCCCCCCCCTTTGACATTTTCAGTCCTGTTGTGTCCGAATTTAGGGGGCAGTGCTCATCCTGTTTTCAAGCCGGAGAGCCAGCGCTTGTCCGAAGACAGATTCCGTTGTCACATAAATAGGTACCACGTCAGTGGGAAGGTAAAACAGCGAGTTAGTCATCACAGACATTGAAAACCCAGGATGCAGAATAGGGTTGATTCTTTTTTTAAAAAGAGAGGGGGTTCAGGGTTCAAGAACACTCCTCAGTCGTTCAGCCTACCTGTCAAGAGAATGGTAAATGCTGCCTGGACCGCCTGCCCCATGAGGTTATCCATCGCAAACACCCAGTGGGGCTTGATCTGGAGCTTCCGGAGAGCTTGCTTTACCTGTTGATGTGGAAGGTGACAGGTTCAGGCCTTCCATGCAAAAAAAGGTACCACCGGTGACTCCCATCCTTCATTTCAGTAGTATTATCTCAGCAGAGGGAGAGTATTTCGCCGCCGCCATTGACTTCAAGTAGGAGTCACAAATCCTTATCAAGTTATATCAAATTACTTAGAAAGATCCACCATCAGATCCTTATCTATCTTCTTCCATAAGCTACTCTACAACCTAGAGCAGCAATGGCAAACCTATGGCACATATGCCACAGCTGGCACACAGAGCCCTTTCTGTGGGCACGCGAGCCATAAGTCGCTGGATCTTGCTGGCGCTTTGACACATGGATCTGGCGCAGCTGGCGCTGGCAGCAGATCTGATTCCGGTTCTGCTGCCATGGCATGCCGCCTGCTGGGTTTTGTTTTGTTTTTGATTTTTGCTTAGCCCAAAAACGTTTGCTGCCACTGACCTAGAAGCTTTTAAAAATATTTCTACCCAGAAAAAAAAAGCAGCTGGGTGGGCATGCAGATGAAAAGACAGACAGACAGAAAGGAAAGATGATCCAAATACGGGGCAGAAGGAGGAGCTCATCTTGACCGCTCCTGTACTTCCCCATTCAGAAACCAACTGGACCAGCTATTTTTCTTTATATTTCTGCAAGGGACTGAGTGAGTTACACAGGCATAGACAGATAGGAAAGGATACGAAGCTAAATATTCAAGGTCAGTCTGGAGGACTGGAATGGTCCTGCAATGATGGGTGCTTACTACCTTTTTCCCCACACACCCATACACAAGGCAGTGCCGCTGTGTGGACGCTCAGAGCAACCCCAAGGTAATTTTGCTGCACAAGATCCATCCGCCCCATGTAGTTTCCACTTACAGAAGCTAAGTAGACTGGTTTGTTTTGTCATATATTTCCACAAATCCAAGAAACAGAGACTATAGATAGGAAAGAAGATGTATGGATGAAGCTAAACCTTTTAAGATGGGGCAGAAGGACTGAAACAGATTTTTTTAAAAAAGATTCTAATTCCTCTCCCATTTTAGCATACAGAAACAAATTAGACTGGCTGTTTCCCTTTATATTTCCACATGCATAAAACTCAGAGGCTTAAAATATCTTTACCACAAAAAGCTAAGACTTGAATCATGTAAAGCCAGTCCTAAAAGAGTGAGTTACTCACAACGCACACACTCTCTCTTGCTACACACACCATACTCTGGTGTACCCATATTGTTCTCAGAACTGCCCCAGGCACCTTCTGCAGCCTGAGGTAAAGGACAACTTAAATTCCTGATAAAGAAGCTGACTGGACTGGCTACATATTTTGACACTTTCGATGGCGCAGAGTCCTGAGGAGGGCAATTCATTTGCTTTGCCCATCGAGCTAACATTGCAAAGCCCCTGGCCTTGTAGCCCTTTGCCACCCAGGCTGGCCGCCTCCCTCTGCCAAACGGGAGGGACGATACAGGGGGTGCCTGTGCCGCCTTTTGCCAGAACCTTCTCAAGGTTTCTGAACTCTTTAAAGGCTATTTTAAAATCCAGGGTGCCCGAGATGCCTCCCAAAGGATACTCACCATGTCTTGAAAGGTGAAGAGCGGGACCTGGGTCTGGCCGAGGCCGAGGCCGTCCGCCTGCAAGCTGGCCTGGAGCTGGAGCAGGTCCTGGGCCAGCTGCTTCCGGCTGGGCGAGCGGATGTAGCTCTTGAGGCAGGACACCAGCTGCGAGATGTGCTCCAGCGACAGCAGGGCCTGGGAGGACGACGCGGGCCAGGCCTGGAGGGAAGAGGCCGCCAGGAACACAACAAAGCAGAGGCAAGGTTTGACACGATGCCTTCAACCCAGCCCAAAGTCAGAGAGCCCTTCTTTACGGACTCGGTTGACCTTCCCTTTGTCCCTCCGGAATGGGGCTGGAGCCTCCCAAGTCCCCTCTCCCTACAGGGCAGCGAGAGGGAGGTCTCACGTTTCCCTTTGGTTTCACCATCCATGTCTGACTTAAGGCAATTTGAGGTTCCCCAGATGTGCGAGATATTTAAGGAGGGGGTTTAAGGACGTGGTGGCGCTGTGGGCTAAACCGCAGAAGCCTTTGTGTGCTGCAGGGTCAGAAGACCAAGCAGTCGTAAGATCGAATCCACATGACGGAGTGAGCACCCGTCACTTGTCCCAGCTCCCGCCAACCTAGCGGTTCGAAAGCATGCAAATGTAAGTAGATAAATAGGGACCACTTTGGTGGGAAGGTAACAGCGTTCCGTGTCTAAGTCGCACTGGCCATGTGACCACGGAAGATTGTCTTCAGACAAAAAAGCTGGCTCTACGACTTGGAAACGGGGATGAGCACCGCCCCCTAGAGTCGAACACGACTGGACAAAAATTTGTCAAGGGGAACTTTTACCTTTACCTTTACCTTTACCAGTGCCACAAGCGCCACCCCCACCCCTGCCCCAGGTATTTTTTTGTTGGCTCAAATTGCAACCCAGTTCTCCTGGGAGCTAGTCTGGTGCTCCTTCCCACCACATCGTGCTGGCTCTCTTGAGGGAAACCAGCTATAAACAATTATAGGCTTGCAATGAATCCCTTTTGCAGGGATTAAGGCACAGCAAAGTTGCATTAATAATTTTCATATACTGAGGGAGAGCTTCATTTATTTTGTGGTGTAAGTACAATTGGTTTCCAGTTACTTTTAGAGCTACAGAAGCCATGGGGTCTCCCTGCTTTAGATACACCATGTATCACACATCAGTGGCCTATATAGCATGCTGGGCTTTTAAAAAAAGGAACTAAAAAGGTAAGTATTTTAATTATTTCTGAACAACGAAAAAGGAACTAGAAATATAACCACCTCCACTTTAAACAACACAGTGGAACTAGAAATATAACCAGTTCTATTTCTTTCTTGTTGTTTAAAAATAATTAGCTGGTATAGCTCAGTGGTTTGGAATGCCTGTTTGGGGAGCCAGAGGCCAAGAGTTTGAATCCCACGGTGCCTTCCAGGAGAGGAGCCAGCTGTGATCACACAGAAGGGGTGCAAAGTAGCTGGGGGTGTGTGTGGACGTAGCGCTGGAGACCATGGTGTTCAACTGCTCCAGTGGGGAATCCTGGAGGCTAATTTTCTTTAAAAATGTACAGAGTTCCTAAGCAAAGAAGGGGAAACTGAAAGTAATACATCCCACCTAGGAAGACTGAGCTGGTGACAAAGGAGGGGTGTAGACGATGAACCCTCAAGAAAGCCCAAGATCTTCCCTCAACACTTTAATGGAGATGCTAGGAAGGACTTGGACTGAAGGGATCCAATGCTCCCTCTTTAGTTAATACAGTGGTGCCTCGCTTAACAAGCGCACCGTATAACGACGAAATCGCATAGCGATCCGTTTTTTTGGATCGCTAATGCGATCGCTCAACGAGCTTTAGATAGGGAGAAATTCGCTTTGCGAAGATCGGTAAGCGTTTCGCTTACCGATCTTCGCAAAACGAAGCTCCGACGATCAGCTGTTTGTCGGACAAAATTGCCGCCGGAAGCCCCAAAATGGCCGCGCGCAGCGTTTTCGCGTCCTCCCCTTGCTTAACGAGGGCGTGAAAATGGCTGCCGGCCATAGGAAACCTCGCTGAACAGTGAGTAAAGGAGCCTTTTGGAACGCATTAAACGATGTTTAATGCATTCCAATGGCTTTCCCTGTCCCATTCAGCGATGTTTCGCTATAGCGAAGGTTAATCCGGAACGGATTAACCTCGCTATGCGAGGCACCACTGTATAAAAGTTTCAGAGGTCATATCATTCAAGTACATGAAAGAATGAGGGAGGGGAGGGAAGACTGTCCCCCGTGAGAGTTGTCCAGAGTCACCTTCCAGAGTGCCCTGAGAACAATACTCTTATCTGGGTCATTCTGGGAAAATGCAAGGCTGGCCACTGAAATGAATTCCGGTGTTTTAGGCTGGTTCTGTATTCACATGGTAACTGTTAGCTGCCATTGCTTTAAAATCCCATGCATACATCCTAAGGAAAGGAGAATAACATTTGCATATAGTGGGCATTAATGAATAACTAACCAAACATGGATACTTAGTGCAGTGTAGTGGACAGAGCAGGAGTTCCTGGGTTTGAATCCCCATCAGCCTTAGAAACTCACGGGGGGAATGGAAGGGGTAAAGCCGCTCCTTAAATATCTCATTTGTCTTGAAAGCCCGGTTAGGGTAAATGCAAGTCAGTTCCAACTTGAGAGTACATAACAACAACAACATCAACAACAACAATGCAGGGCCAATCTAATGTAATTTACAGTCTGTAGCAAAGGGCAAGATACTGCCCCCACGCCACCAATTCCATGTACAGAAATGGGTTAGTAAATCACTGAATCCATCTTGGTAACAGGGTCAATTGCACAGAGGAGAGGACCTCTTGAGAAATGACCACGCAGAGACAGAAACACATCCTCAGCATCTGTCGAAGGGTACAGGGTGGGCCCTCCTACCATGCTGTAAGGCAGGGGTTCCCAACCCCCGGTCCATGGACCGGTCCCGGTCTGTGGCCTTGCCAGGACCAGGCCGCGGAGACAAATCTCCTGCCCCCCTGCACGCGCAGATGCATGATGGCCCCTCCAACACACACACATGGATGCCCCTCCCTAAACCAGTCCACGGAGGCAACAAGGTTGGGGACTACTTCTTTAAGCAACCTATGCCAAAACCCCTGTGGACCTATGCCTCTTGTGAGAGGCTGTAAGACCTCCCAAGGAGGAGGGATTTTGTTCCACGCCCATCCGATGGCCACACGTGGGATTAGGAAAAGAGAGAGCAGAGTCCACAAGGAGGTCTCCTCCATGTGACAACCTTCCACCCCTTCTTAAGTCCTCGTGCTGCTCACCTCCTTTTGGGCCTTGTGGATGGCGGCAGCAATGCTGGGCAACTCCTCGGTCAGGACCTTGGACAAGGTTACCCTCCGCTCACTGTCCTTCTTCAACAAGAACAAACAGCCGCTCTCCTCATGAGAAGAAGAAGACAGGTTGAGGTCCACGTTGGCCAGTTCTTCAGAAACTCTGTGTAGACACATGGGGGTGGGGGAGATTTGAATCCAAGAGTAAGCAGTGGCAGGTGGGAAATCTTTTCTTCGCAGTGGCCAACTGTAAATAGCAGCCACCTCAACCCTGCGCTAAAAGGCACGTAGCACATGTGTAAAGTTTCTACAGAGGAAGCATGAGGGATCCCCGGCGGGTGGACCCGAGGTTCCCCATCCAGCCCAGAAGCTTCTTCTGTTATTTTTAATCAGCGATTGGAGCGAAAGGGCTCTTTAAAGCCTTAACACTTGTCTCACCGAACTGAGTTCTCACTTGAAGCCTCCTCATAAATCTCTTTTACTAGAGCTTACTCCTAAGGAGACCGATCTAGAATGTGGCTTTGCCTTCTAGGGCCCAGGGCCCCACCATGCACCCTACAGAGGTCGCTTCAAAAGCCCCCCCTCTCTTTAAAATTTGGCTCTTGTGTTCAAAAAGCTCTCTGTGTCGGACGTAGATCAAACTAGTGGGCATCATTTCTACTTTTGAAGCCAACTAGGGAAAAAAGAGAGTAGCAACCCACTGCCAGTCCATTGCCTTGAAATGCATAGCCCGGCTACAGTTTTGGCATATATTGTTCAATCCTTACACCCTGCACTGATGAGGAAGTTCTGGGCAAAGAGACAAGCAACGTGCTTCTTCATCCTCACAGCCCTTTCCGAACAGTAACGGCTGCTTTTTGCAGGGCATGGCATGGCACACAGTTTGTGGAAATTGGGTCCATCCTACAAATTAACCAGTGTGATGGCATTCAGGTTTTCTGCCTCTAAGGACTGATATTCTAGTTGCTTTTAAAAGGCACATGTCTTCAAACTAGTCATTCAAACTGACCTGTGGTTGGGAAGGGCTGTGTTTGAGCCATTCAGTGGCCATATTGAACACCTTTGAACAATTATATATGCCTGTCTGATATGATGCTAATGAAAACTTTGAAAAACAAATTGTAAGAATTTCAAGGGACACAATCTAATAGTAATGGGATATTTCAATTATTCTGATATCTGTTGGGAGACAAATTCTACTAAATATGGACCTTCCAAGAAATTCCTGGCTTGTGTAGTTGATAATTTTTTCTTACAAAAAGTGGAGGAAGAAACTAGAGGGTTCGTGACTTGATTCTAACTGGCAGATATGACTTAGTGGAAGAAGTGGCTGTAGGGGGAACTCTGGCAGAACGTTCCCATGTTCTACTTGAGTTCTTGGTTTCAAAAGGAAAAAAAATAGACTGCAGCCACCTGTACAGGTTGGATTTTGGGAAAGTCAATTTTAGTAAACGCAGAACAACGCAAGGTAAGATCCCATGACAGGAGATCCTAACAGGAAAAGGAGTTCAAGATGGGTGGGAGTGTCTTTAAAAGGAAATTCTAAAGGCACAACTACAAACAATTCCAACAGAAAAAAAAAAGATAGAAAACAGCTAAAAAGACCAAGTGACTTCACAAAAAGCTCAGAGAGGAACTGAAAACAAAAAAGACACATATAGGAAGTGGAAAGAACGCCAGGCCATAAAGGAAGAGTACAGAACTGCAGGGATGACATTATGAAGGCAAAAGCTAAGATGGAACTGAAGTCAGCAAGAAAAGAGAAGCAACCAAAAAAATAATAATATTCAAGTAGGCGTGTAGCAAATGTCACAGGAAAGAAACAACAGCCCAACTACTCAATGGAGATAGAAAAATGGGAGGAGATGAGAAAGAAAAGGCAGAAGTGCTCAATTCCTACTTTAGGTTGGTCTTTTCCCACTCTAAGGAAATGTGAAGTACAAGTGGAGGGGATCAAGATTGCAGCTTCAGATTGATAAACAAATAGTCAAGGAATGCTTTATTACTTTAAACAAGTTTACATCTCTTGGGCCTGATAAACTGCCTCAAGAGTATTGAAGGACCCGGCTGAAGAACTCTTGGAACCACTGTGTATTATTTTCTTGAAATTATGAGGGATGGGTGAAGTGCCAGATGACTGGAGTAGGGCTAACATAATCCCTTTCTTCAAAAAGGTGAAAAGGAGAAACAAGAGAACTACAGATTGGTCAGCCTGACATCAATATCAGGAAAAATTCTGGTGCAGATTATAAAGCAATCACCCTGCAAGTACGCTGAAAACATTGCAGTAACAAGTAGAAGCCAACATGGATTTGTCAAGAACACATCCTGCCAGGCTAACCTTACCTCATTTTTTGACAGGGTAACCTCCCTGGTAGATGGCGGGAATGCTGTAGATGTAATATACCTTGACTTCAGCAAATACTAGACAAAGTGCCCCATGATAGTGAGCCAACAAAGTATTGGGTGGATAGCATAAGTGCCAGGTGGACACACAGTTGGTTACACAATCGTACTCAGAAAGTACTTATCAATGGCTCCTTCTCAAAATAAGAGGAGGTAACAAGTGGGGTACCACAAGGCTCAGTCCTAGGCCTGGTGCTCCTCAACATTTTTATTAATGGTTTTGATTATGGAGTTCAAGGAATGCTTACCAGATTTGCAGATGACACAAAATTGGGTGGAATAGCTAATATCTTGAAAGTCAGAAATAAAATTCAAAAACATCTTGATAGACTCAAGATAGACTCAGGATTAAGTGCGAAGTTCTACACTTGCTGGGGGGGGACACCAAATGCACAGTTACGAGATGGGGGATACTTGGCAGAGTAGTACTACAAGTGACAAGGATCTTAGAATTGGAGATCATAAGCTGAATATGAGCTAACAATGTGATATGTCTGCAAAAAAAAAAGGATTTTATGCTGCATTAACAGACGTATACGCTCCAAATCCTGTGAAGTACTAGTCCCCCTCTAGTTGGTATTGGTTAGGCCTAATACTTCCAGTTCTGGACACCACAGTTTAAGAAAGATGCCAGCAAGCTGGAGCAAGTTCAGAGCAGGGCAATAAAATAATCAGAGACTGGAAACTGAGCCCTTTGAGGAAAGACTGAAAGAACTGGGCATGTTTAGCTTCCAGAAAAGAAGACTACGGGTACACAGGATAGCATTCTTCAAATACATGAAAGATAGTCATACAGAAGAGAGGCAGGATCTGTTCTCAATCATCTCAGATTGCAGGACCCATAATAATAGACTCAAGTTATAGGAAGCCAGATTTCAGCTATCAGAAAAAAAACTTTGCAACTGTTAGAGCAGTACAACAATGGAACCAATAATCTTAAAAGATAGTGAGTGTTCCAGTGCTGGAGGCATTTAAGGGAAAATTGTACAACCATCTGTCAGATTTGCTTTGATCTGGATTCAACTTGATGGCCTTATAGGCTCCTTCCAACTCCATTATTCCATGATTCAACGATAAGGAGACACAGACTATGTACTGCCACTTGCAAAATGAGGTTTGATGGCTCATGTGGAAAGAGTAGAAGGTGGCACATTTGTTGTTAACAACAACAGCAATAGCAGCAGCAACAACACTGACACCGACACCACCACCAGCACCAATAATAATAATGTGCCATCAAATAAGTTCTGACTTAGGGAAACCCTTTTGAGGGTTTTCTAGGCAGAGACTACCCAGAAGTGTTTTACCCTTCCCTTCTTCTGGGGGCATCCAGAGACTGTGCAGCTTGCCCAAGACCACACAGGCTGGCTCTTCCCCCAGGAGGCACAGTGGGGCATTGAACCCTTAATCTCATGGCTCTGCAGCCAGATACTTAATTCTGCTTTTTAAAAGAGCATCAAGGACCTAAGCATTGTCTCAATAATGGACCTGATATTGGCTGTGGTAGTGACATGAGAATGCCACTAGGTGGTGATCAAATTCTTCCTGAACTTCCTAAAGAATGACAGTGTCATTATGGAGGAAAAACCAGAGCAGAACCAGAAACGATATTCATCTGGCCCCTCTGGACTATTTTCAATTCTTTCTGGCCAGTGTTTTTATTGGGATATCCACCCTCCTCCAGTCTTTTGCACAGCATACGCATCTGGGGGGGGGCAGGGGTAAAAATGCACCTCACGAAAGAGGCTCTTTTGGGAACAAATGGGCTTCGTCTTGGCAGGCCACTGGACAGTGTCTGCTACGTGGGAAATGCCCCTTCTTAACCACAGAAGCAGAAGAAGGACATGACAACTGAGGTCCAGGAGGGAAGCCGAGCCACTGTGCCTTGTCAGAGAAGCAGGGGCCATCAGCACACCATGGCAAGCTTCCAAACAAATTTCCCACCAGAATCCAGATGTTTCAAACTGCTTGACTGCACAAGGCAAGCCTGAGTCCATTAAAAAAGGCCAGGGTCATAAACCACAGCTGGAAGTGTGTAAACTAGCATAGTCTAAAAATTGACCACAGTTTGTACCGCTTTGCACCGTGAACTCAGACAGCCGTGTTCTCTCAAGGACAGCCTATCCTGCAGTTTCCCCCTTTTTCCTTGGCTGAACAGACAACTGGCTGCAGGTCTGCCTTAAATGCTCAACTACAGACGCAGAGGAACTATTTTTATTTAGGATATTTGTATAGGTTTTAATATATGAATATCCTAAATATATTAAAAAAAACCTGTTGTAAAGACGGTTGCATTATCATCCGTGGATTCTTGAATGCTCAAATATTGTCACTGTCAGAACCTTCTACATCTGAACTTATTAAGACCTTATGGTCCACATCCCACCCAACGCCATAAGCAAGGTATGTGTACCTGAACCATGTTTCCCCAAAAATAAGACAGGGTCGTATATTAATTTTTTGCTCCAAACAACACATTAGGGCTTATTTTCAGGAGATGCTTTATTTTTTTCATGTACAACAATCTACATTTATTCAAATGCAGCTATGTCATCTTCTGGTTGCTGCATAATGGTGGAGGTTTCACTTAACTGGGGCTTATTTTTGGGGTAGGGCTTATATTACGAGCATCCTAAAAATCATGCTAGGGCTTATTTTCAGGTTAGGTCTTATTTTCAGGGGAACAGGGTAGTAGTCCAGAACTGAAGAAGACCATGAAAACTCATACTTATTTTTCTTCAAGGTGCCACAGGACTCTTGTTAACCAGAGTTTAACCAGAGATTAGCTCTGTTATTCAACCTATATGGAGCCTGAACTCCATAGCATAGCAATACAGAACATGCTTTGCATGCAGAATGGCCTGTGTTTAGCCTGTCTGTGTCATCTCCAAGGATTGCTAATAAGAATCCTGCCTGAACGCCTGGACAGCTCAGTCAGCATGAACAATACTGAGCTAGAAGGACCAATGTTCCTATAAATTATTGGGCTGATTCCTATTTCCCATTCAGCATAAGGCATGCTGTGAACCTGGAAGGCTCCCCTTCCTTCCTTCCTTCCATCCTGCCTCAAATCTCACCTTAGGTAGTTGGTTCTATAAGATGCCTCACTGGAGCTCCGAGATAGAAAGGCATTCTCCGTCTGTGTCCTCATAGGGTGTAAGGATGAGGAATAGCTCCTGGACAAACCAACAGCATCTGCTGAAGTTGACCTTTCAGGTTTGCTTGGCATTATCCCTTCATCTGCACAGAGAACAGAGATGACTGCAAGGCTAATAGCGAAAAAAGAGAAGAGTCGCCTTAGAAACAATCAGGAAACCCAGCCCAGCTGGGCTGATTGTTTGGCTCTCCGTCTCACCTGGCACTACAGGGCTCCTAGATCTCCTCCTGTTTGGCAACCTCAAAAAGGGCTCCTGAAGCAAGGAAGCAGCCGTTGCCCGCTTATCTGGATCAGCCTCAAAACAGCTCAGAATAAAGGCCTTGGCTTCGTCTGACATGGAACCGGGCACCTCTGGGTGGATCTTGAACATGCCCACCTAAAAAAGAAAAGAAAAAGGCACAATTGGTAGATCAGTAGTAGAAATGTTGCTGCTTCTCTTCCATGATGGGGCATTAGCAGGCCTTCCTAAGTCATATTCCTCTCGCTGGATTGTGTTGGTGGCATTACGTTGGAGGCAGGGAATAATGGATCAGCCCCCAACAGAAAGTGCATTTCTCAAAACCAGGAGGATGGACAAAGGGGAGAACAGACGAAGGAATAGAGAGCCTGAGTGGGTGGGTGGTAAAGGTCGGAAAGGAAAGGAAGGGCAAGGAGGGGGGAAGGAGAAGAAAACAAAATGTATAAAAGGGAAACAGAAAAGCAGGGACAGAAGAAGTGAGAGAGTCGGTGAGTAAAAAAGAAGTCAGAAGAACTGCTTCTGGAAGGGTGGATTTTATTACAAAACCCCAGGACATGGGGATGGGAAAAAATTGAAAGTATCCCAGGAAGAAGCAGAAAGGAAAACAACACTCACCCCCTCTAAGAAACTCTCATATTGGGGGGAGAGAGAGAGAGAGAGGAAGAGGGGCAGAGGGGAGAGCAATAACAAGTTCAGCCAGGTAGAGGGGAGAAACTACAAGGGACTCAATGAACCCCCCCCCCAACCCTAACCCTTTTGACCAGGAAGAAACAAGGGGAGAGCACACGAGACTGGGAGAAGGTTAGGAGATATAGGGAGAAGATGAGCGGTGGAGAAAAAGGCCAAACTCACTGCTGTAAGAGCTGTTGGCAGCAGAGTTCACACAAGAACAAGAGTGAAAGATTGTGGATGATAGCACAAATGGGGGGAAGTTAGGGGAACATTCATTGAACCCCTTCCTCTCCCCATTAGGAAGGGAAGGAGAGCTGATGTCAGAAAGTGTTATAAAGACTGCCGCTGGGTCTTCATTCATAAAAGCTAAAAGTCTGAAGCAAGAGAATGACTTAAGTCATGGCCTCATTGGGGGATGGACAAAGGGGGACAATCATGAACTCTCACAATAATGATTTTTACATTATATATTCCTACTCCTAAGAACTTTAATATTTTAAGAGATGTATTTCCAGTCTTTGATATATATTCCTCTCTTTTAGGCTACAAATTTATTTTTACATTATGTCTACAAATTAAGTTTTGTATTTGAATGGCTGCACCTTCTCACAGTTGCAAGACTATTTGGATGGACATCACACCTGTAACTTTTATAAGTTTCAAGAATGTATTTTTAAGTGCTCATGCCTAATGTTTTCTTCAAAGCTGTAAACTTTTTGGATTTCAGTCTTGAAGAATTTTATGCATATGAAACGGTGGTTCCCAACCTGAGGTAACCCAGGTGTTTCGGACTGTGCTGGCCAGGGTTTCTGGGAGTTGCAGTCCAAGAACACCTTGGTTAGCCAAGGTTGGGAACCATTGATAAGGAACACAGAAGCAATGTGGATAAATAAAGCTTGTAGAGATAGGCAAACTGATGTTGCCTAGAATTATTGCAACAATGAAACAAACATCACATTTTTCCGTGTATAAGACACACCCATGTATAAGACATCCCCCACTTTTCTAATCCAAAATTAAGAAATCTAAGTGGGGTTTAGCAAGTGTAGGGGGAAAGGGATCAAAGCACTGCAGGATCACTTTGATCCCTGCTTTCCCCTCCACTTGTTTTTGTTCTGTCCTCAGCTTACTTCCGTGTATAAGATGACCCTCAATGTTTAGTCTAAAGATTTTAGACAAAAGTATAGTCTTATACATGGAAAAATATGGTATACTTTAATAGTCAGACAAATTCTGATTTGATTTTCTGTGGTCATTTGGTTTCATTCTGGAATTAACCCTTTACTGGGATAAATGCCAGCTGTGACAAACATAGGCTTCTCATTTTATTCTTGGGAAGTCTACAAAATTTTGTAGGATTCAGGTATTAGCTGAGCTAGCCTGACGAGTGGAGATTTGAAGCTTGTTCTCCCTCATCTCCAGTTCTGTTCTAACCACTTGACTATGACTCCTATTTCCACTATATGAATTCTCTCAGCCAACACAGCCTCTGGGACTGAAGCCCACCCACCCCCAATAACTTTCCCAAGCTCTTTGTCAACTCACAAGAAGATTTCAAGACTAAGATACACATGACTGGCAACACAGAGGTGTCAGCTGGATTTTGCTGGTGGCGTAACGGCCATCTCCAAAGATGCAAGCGACATAAAGATAAATGGACACTCTCCCCAACCTCACCTTGAACATGGCAGCTTGAGGGCTGCCCAACTCAAAGAAAGGGGGCTTGCCTGTAGCCATCTCAATGATGGTGCAGCCCAAGGACCAGATGTCAGCTGGCTTGCCGTACCCACGTGGCCCCTGATCAATAACCTCTGGAGCCATGTACTGCAGGGTGCCTGAGGAAGGAAAGAAGGGAGATGCTGAAATGAGTTTGGAGAGCCATGCAATATTACTGGCCAGCGTGGGGAAGTTAAATCTCCCCCTAAAACTGCATTTTCCCCTTTATTCCCTGGCAGTACATTACTGTACCCTCAATGCATGGCAACCCTTCCAGACAATTCTTGGCATTAAGTATTTAGATGTCTTTCACCAGTCCCTCTTTCTGGTGGTGCTCTAGTACTATACATCTTGTCCGAGGTCACATATGCTGCAGGGCATGTAACTGCGTAAGCCACATATGCAGCACACAATTTTGGATGGCCCTTCTCCTAGGAGGCTCACTGAGATTTGAACTCTGGACATTCAATAACAGTCTAATTATTTTTAGGCTATTATACTGGTCTAAATCCAATTGTACATCCTGGCCTTGATATGTCAACACCTATGTAAGTCTCACTAAGTCAATTAGTCTACTCCAGTTGGAATTAAAAACTGAATTTAGTCTTCTGTGTCTTGAGATACCCAGTGTGGTGCAGTGCATAAAGTGACAGACTAGGATTCAGGAAGCTAGGTTTGAATCCCCGCTCAGCCATAGACACTCACTGGGAGTGTTCAACTGGTAAAGCCACTTCTTAAATATCTCTTAAATAATAGGCATGAAAGCTCTATTAAGGTCACTATAAGTTGGTTCCAACTTGGCATGTTGTATTGCCCTCTTAAGTACCAGTAACCTCACCATGAACTGTTCTTCCCTTGGTAGGCTGCACTCTCATAAAGAACTGTGTGTTTTTGTGGTTGTTGTTGTTTTTAAAGCAGAATCCAACTTCAGGTAACAGGACTGGACCTGCCGTGGGGCAAAGTGAGGCAACTGCTTCAGAGAGCAGCTGCTGTTGGGCCGCAACAGCAGCGTCCCAGACATTTTTGTTTTGAGTCACGTGGCCATGCCTGACAAGGAGAGCAGACCTGTATATATAGTACACGGCCTGTCCTACTACTGCCCTTGCATGTGGGGGGAGGACCCCTGTCCCACTGCTGAAGCAAGACCTGACCGTCTGTCCTCTCCAGCAAGCTTCCACATGCGGAACAGAAGAAAGCATCATCTTATCTTTTGCCTTAGGTTGTTAAAATGTCTTCACCCAGCCCTGTCAGACAGAGAAGTCAACATTAATAAAAGTCTGATCAAAGCCATCCCAACGTATTTTTATTTTCTAGCAATTGACAACGGATAATCCCATTTAATTTTTGTGGCTATACCGCTGACTACCTCACTCCTTCTAATGGTAACCTTGAAAGGTAAGAAGTGTCAGAAATGAATCCAGACATGACCATGGAGAAACAAGAGGATGGTTTTGATATCTGAGTCTACTCTAATTGGAATTAAAAACTGGATTTAGCCTTCTGTGTCTTGATATACCCAGTGTGGTGCAGTGGATAAAGTGACAGACTAGGACTCACGAAGCCAGGTTTGAATCCCCGCTCAGCCATGGACACTCACTGGGAGTGTGCAACTGGTAAAGCCACTTCTTAAATATCTCTTAAATAATAGGCATGAAAGCTCTATTAAGGTCACTCTAAGTTGGTTCCGACTTGACATCTTGTATTGCCCTCATAAGTACCAGTAACCTCACCATGAACTGTTCTTCGCTTGGTAGGCTCCACTCCCATAAAGAACTGTGTTGTTGTTGTTGTTGTGGTCACTATAAGTTGGTTCCAACTTGGCATGTTGTATTGCCCTCTTAAGTACCAGTAACCTCACCATGAACTGTTCTTCCCTTGGTAGGCTGCACTCTCATAAAGAACTGTGTGTTTTTGTGGTTGTTGTTGTTTTTAAAGCAGAATCCAACTTCAGGTAACAGGACTGGACCTGCCGTGGGGCAAAGTGAGGCAACTGCTTCAGGGAGCAGATGCTGTTGGGCTGCAACAGCTGCGTCCCAGACATTTTTGTTTTGAGCCACGTGGCCATGCCTGACAAGGAGAGCAGACCTGTATATATAGTACACGGCCTGTCCTACTACTGCCCTTGCATGTGGGGGGAGGACCCCTGTCCCACTGCTGAAGCAAGACCTGACCGTCTGTCCTCTCCAGCAAGCTTCCACATGCGGAACAGAAGAAAGCATCATCTTATCTTTTGCCTTAGGTTGTTAAAATGGCTTCACCCAGCCCTGTCAGACAAAGAAGTCAACATTAATAAAAGTCTGATCAAAGCCATCCCAACGTATTTTTATTTTCTAGCAATTGATGACTGATAATCCCATTTAATTTTTGTGGCTATACCGCTGACTACCTCACTCCTTCTAATGGTAACCTTGAAAGGTAAGAAGTGTCAGAAATGAATCCAGACATGACCATGGAGAAACAAGAGGATGGTTTTGATATCTTTGATAAATTCACCAAGACATTCTTGGGCTAAACCCACCCACCTCCAGAAACCTTCACCATTAGCTATGCTGGCCAGGATTTCTGGGAGTTGTAGTTCAAGAACATCTGGGGGCCCAAGGTTGGGATACCACTGCTCTAGCTCAATACAGTAGCCAATGTGGTTTGTGGTGGCTCTTGAAAGAACCAGCTAAATCTCTCTGCCATCACCTGCTCCCCAAGATGTTAACTGGAGACACCAAGGATTGAACTAAAGGTTTTCTGTGTGCAAGGAATCTACTCTACCACTCTGTGGCTCGTTAATTGTGACCCTCAAGAGGCAAACTCTTCCATTTGATGAAGAAAACCACAAGATTTCTCTCTCTCTCTCTTTGCTCTTCCAATTTAGTTTCATGTTCAGAGTTCTTTGTTGCTTGGCAATTAATGATGTTTGGATTAGTTGTTTTGGTAACTGCAAGCTCATCATTATCCTTCTTCCTCTTTCTTCTGATGTTATTGCTAACGGTCATGTTGTTGTTGGTTGTTTTTAATGCAGCATCAGGGTGTGCTGATTTAGAGTGACTTTGATAGAGTTTTCAAAGAAAGTGAGATATTGAAGAGAGGTTTTATAGTGCCACCCCTACCCCCAGTTGAGTTTCTGCGGCCAAGTGGGGACTCCAACCCTAGTCTTCTGAATACTGGTCTGTCACCCTATTCACAACATCGCACTGGCTACTGTGTGCTGGATAACCTATATTTTGAACACATACCACTTTATGCACACCTTACATAGATATTATGTACATTTTATGTAGACTTTATGCAGATAGTTCTTTAAAACTATCCTGCTAAACCTACAAAAGCCCTGGACCGGAGAACATGGCTTACTTATCTTCAGGAACAGGAAAACCCCTCCCCCCTCCAGATACATAAAGACATTTTCCCAGCCTCTTACCTGTGAACGTCTCTGCTTTGGGGCTGATTCCTGCCAACCTCTTGGAAGTGCCAAAGTCAGAAATTTTTAACACACCGCTGTACGTGTTGATCAAGACATTATCTCCCTGTCAACCCACAAAAGCCAAGTGTATTGCTTTAGAGTCTCAGAAAGCAATGAGAAGCTGGTCACACTCCCCACACTCCCATCAGGAAAAAACAACAACAAAAGAGCAGGACCAGAAAGCTTCTTCCAATCAACCTACAACATCCCCCATTCGAAAGATCTTACACAAATTACTTTTAGGCCTTAACCCTCAAACTACACTTACTTGTGCAACATTTCTGGCATCTGCATGCAAAGTACATAAAGATTTAATGGGTAATGATTTTAAGCTATAACTTTCCCTTATCTCTCCCTCCCCCCCTTTGTATTAGTGTTGTGACTGTCTTAGAAATTCAATCTGTATTATGCACAATATCTTTTGCTGGTCATGGACTGTAATAATAATAAACTGAAACTGAAACCTCCCCATCTCAAAACATTTACTTTAATGTTTTTATTTGTCATCTCATTATAGCACCTAGCATTTACTTTCACATTGATTTTTTAATACTAATGAATCTAAAATAAAATCATCGTCCAGATCTATTGGGCGAACTGTGGGGTCAGGGTCCCTTTCTGTTCCCAAGAAGTAGATTTGCCTTTTTTGGGGGGGGCTTTCCTCTACCCCACCTCCCAGCCTCCTCCAGGCCAGTTCCAGCACACAGCTCATGACGGCATGCAGTCCAGTTTGCAACAGCTCTCACCTTGATATCCCTATGGACAATCTGATTGTCGTGCAAGTAACGCAGTCCCTCGAGGATCTGCTTTGTGTAGTAGACAATCGTTGGCTCGTTGTCCTTCAGGGGACCCCACATGGATCGCAGAAGAGAGGAGAGGCTCCCTATATTGGGGGCCAGGAAGAGAATGTGTAATTACAGAAGGCCTTTTCAGGTATGGTAGCCAGTCAGCTGAATTACAGCCCCAGGTCATTGTCTGCCTTGAAGATGTTCATTTCTTTTAATTACATTTATATCCCACCTTTCCATCTAGGAGGTAATTGTGGAAAACATGGTTCTCCTCCTCCTCCCAGTTTCTCCTTACAATCCTATAAAGCAGTGGTCCCCAACCTTGGGCCTCCAGATGTTCTTGGACTACACCTCCCAGAAATCTTGGCCAGTACAGCTAGTGGTGAAGATTTCTGGGGGGTTTTAGTCCAAAAACATTTGGGGACCTAAAGTCTGAATAATAATAATCTAAAATCTGGCCTCAGGTTACCAAATATTCCAGGCAGTACTGTCTCAGAAACCCTTCTTTGAAAAAAGTGATTCGGCCAAGATTTGCTGGAAAACATAATAATGCTGGGAAAGGTCAGAGGGAGTAGAGAAAGGGGAAGGCCAAATACAAGATGGATCGCCTTCCCCGAAGGAAGTCACAGCCTTGGGTTTACAAGAGCTGAGCAGGGCTGTTGAGGACAAGACATTTTGGAGGTGGCTCATTCATAGGGTTGCCTTTAGCCAGAGGCAACTTGATGACATATAACAATAGTAAGGTTTACAACAGTCTTCAAAAGCAGACCCTTGTAGAGTTCACTGCAGTAATCTAACTTAAAGGTGACTGAGGAGTGAATGGCCAAAAGTTCTTCCGATTTCTCCACAAAAGAGAACAACTGGAGATCCAGCTTATTTCAGTCCGGTAAACAGGTAAAGAAGTCTAATCAGGATCTAACCAAACCTTAGGAACACACTATTCACCTACTTACCACCAGGTACCTCCTCCATAAAGATCTTGAGAAAGCCATCTTGACTAACAGAACCCAGATAGCGGACTATATTCTTGTGTTGCAGACGCTTATGGAGAGCAATCTCTTCGTGCAGAGGCTGCGAATATCTGAGAAACAGTCAGAGCAATGGTTACCTCAGTTTCCAGTCTTTTTGGGGAATCCTCTTTGTGACACATATGAGTGGATGAGAACGCTTAAAGCTGGGCCTGGCCTAATGTTAGGCAGAGCAAAGCAGCCCACCCCCCTTTCAACTGTTTACAGCTGCCATGAAAAAGCTAACCAAACCTTAGGAACACACTATTCGCCTACTTACCACCAGGTACCTCCTCCATAAAGATCTTGAGAAAGCCATCTTGACTAACAGAACCCAGATAGCGGACTATATTCTTGTGTTGCAGACGCTTATGGAGAGCAATCTCTTCGTGCAGAGGCTGCGAATATCTGAGAAACAGTCAGAGCAATGGTTACCTCAGTTTCCAGTCTTTTTGGGGAATCCTCTTTGTGACACATATGAGTGGATGAGAACGCTTAAAGCTGGGCCTGGCCTAATGTTAGGCAGAGCAAAGCAGCCCACCCCCCTTTCAACTGTTTACAGCTGCCCTGAAAAAGCAGCAAATTGGTTGGTTGTTTAACTTATCATGATTGTATTCTATTGCCAGTTGACAGAGGGACACATCTGGGACTTCCTACCTCAGAAATTGAAATAATTTCAGGGAGGAACCTTTCCCTGCTTGGCCTCAGGTGACAAAGCAGCCAAATATCCCGGGCAATCCTACCTCAGAGATCCTTTTGAGAATGACTGTTTGGCAAGGTGGGGTGGAGGAGAGAATTTAGGGGATTACCTTGCTGAAATTTCTTCCTCCATGCAACTATTATTGATTGATTGATTGATTGATTGATTGATTGATTGATTGATTGATTGATTGATTGATTGATTGATTGATTGACTTTGATTTGATTTGATTTGATTTGTACCCTGCCCATCTGGTCTATAAGACCACTCTATTAATGGTAGAGGAACCCCAGCCTCCATTTTACTCTAGGAAAATCCATTTGCTTCCTTAGAGATTAGGCCTTTTTCTGCAAATATGTCCCACAGCATTATTTCGTCACGCATGAAGGAAGCCCCCAACCGCCCACAGAGAGTTCCAGCCACTCCCTTCCCTGCTGCTCACAGTTCCTACCTGCTGTCCCGCTCCGGGATCTCCTTAATGGCAATGCGCACCTGGTTGCTCAGGTCCCGGCCAGCATAGACCACCCCATACGTGCCTTTGCCCAGAATCACTCTGTCGCCTGTTTCTGTATATTCATAGTCATACTGTGCAAGCCAAAGGAAAACACAGAGTTAGGGAAGGGCAACAGCCTTTCACAAGAACCTTTAGCAATGGGGCCAGTCCTATTTTTGGGCCTGGGGCAAGAAATGTGTTCCCAACATCCTTCCTCTTTAGCTGTGCTTTCTAGGGTTGATGGGAGCTGAAGCAGGGCCACATCGGAAGGTCCAAAGGCTCCTCACACAGCAAATCCTGAAGGCGTCATGAGCAAAAATTGTACAGTACTGTAGTGAAAATACTGTTTTATGGGTATCACACCACCTCCTTCGTGCACCATAAACGAGACTGGTCTCCTGCCCTCAGTTGCCATAAAGACAGCCAGCGAGATTCAGTTGCCCGTCTGAATGGAAGGGCAAGTAGAGACAGAAGATAATTTCATTTGGTCTGCATTTTAAAGTAATGCAATCTAATTTGCACTTGTACTAGTATGTGGGATTAGAACCAAGTTAATATTTGCAGTTCCTGATAGAAAACCGATTATAAAATGCATATGTTAAGAAATACAAGAATATATACAAGAATCTACTAGAAAAAATTGCATGCAAAAACCTATGCAAAGTTGTACAGCGCCTTTGTTTTATGCCATCTGCTGATAGGGGTGGCCATCTTTAATGCTGCATCCCCCAAATCTATTCTTCACTAGGTCCTGAAAAAACAAGGCGTCAATGCCCGTTCTTCTACCAGAGCATCACCCTCATCCCCAACTCACCTCTAACACCTTGGGGGAGGTACAGCTGTCCGTTTCCTCACCCATTTCTGCCATGAAGGAATGGATCAGGTCACAAAACCTAGGTTCACAGAACACAGGAGGAAGGCTATGCTGGGAGAACAGGTCATCTCAACATCTCTTAGCTACTGGCTCAAGTATCAAAGAGTAAAATCCCCCACCCAGAAGAAGGCACTTCCTTTGAAATCACCCATCATACACAGCCCTGCCCGCTGGCTAAGGCCTTCTCTCTCTCTCTTTCTCTCTCTCGTTCGCTCTCTCTCTCTCTCTCTTCGACAACTATCAGAATCCACTAGCCAGGGCTAGCAAAACTCTGGCTACAGGTTTCCTGGGCTGACCATTCCATTTTTTTGCATTTGCTGCCTCTCATCCAGCCTCCTCTTCAACAAGATCCATCTAAATAGCTCAGGTATCAAAGAGTAAAATCCCCCACCTAGAAGAAGGCACTTCCTTTGAAATCTCCCATCATATACAGCCCTGCCACTGGCTAAGGCCTTCTCTCTCTCTCTCTCTCTCTCTCTCTCTCTCTCTCTCTTGGACAATTATCAGAATCCACTAGCCAGGGCCAGCAAATCTCTGGCTACAGGTTTCCTGGGCCGACCATTCCATTTTTTGCATTTGCTGCCTCTCACCCAGCCTCCTCTTCAACAAGATCCATCTAACAGAAACTCTTCCCTCTTCCCAACTCAAGAGGAGAAGTAGGGTCTTCTTATGATGGCTCTTTCAAAAGCTGGAGGGTGTCTCTGCTTCCTCTCTCAGAGCCCCCCCACTCCCTTCCACTCACCAGCGGCAGTGATACTGGGTTGGGAAGTACAGTTGGAAGTCTTCAGCTGTGTGAAGCACATAAAGGAAGCAGCAGCGCTCATCACACTTGGAGATGCTGGGGGAAAAGGGAAAAGATAATGAGTTGTGGATCGCCACCAGCATGGTACTTGAAATACCCTCTAATCAGCAAAACCCTCTAGCCTGCTTGGCAAGGCACATCTCTCAATACCCACATTCACCATTGCTGGAACCTCCCTTGTCAGGAGAGTCTGGACTGAGATGCTACTTTTCCATGTGCAGGAAAATGTTTAATGAATTTATGACTTAGAAAAATATGGACACACAAGTCACCCAGTTAACAGACAAAACTGGTCAGACACAGCTGCCCAGATGAATGACAGAGGAAATCTCTCCTGCAAAATAGGAGGGGAAGTCAGCCCTAATGGTAAAGGGAACGACCACAGCTTGGAGGCAGATCACCTGCTTTGCATACAGATGGACACAAAACGAAGCCCCTGCACCTCTACTTAAGCAGGGACCAAATAGCAGGAATGAAAACCTGCCTGAAACCCCAGAGTGTCAGCATCAGTCAGACGAAGCTTTACTGAGCTTGAAAATATGAACCTGTTTTGAATGAAAACTCCCAGAATCCCCAAGCCACTATGGCTACTGTGGGGGGGGGGGGGGAGACTTCTGGGAATTGCGGTCAAAACCAAGCTTTCCCAAGCTCTGGCCAAATGGCTTGACTCAGCAGCAGGCTTGCTTCCTCCACGCCAAGGAGCCATTCTTGAAATGGAAGAGGCACCGGGGGCCAACGCTCAGTCTCTCTGCATGCAGAAGGATCAAAGTTCAGGCCCTGGCATATTGAGGTGAAAGGAGGCAAGGCCTTGGTGGCATGCTGGCCATCAGCATGGACTAAAATGGAACCGATCATTATTAACACTGTGCAAGTCTAGAATCAGTATCAGTCAAGAAAGGTGGCAGTCTGAGCAGGTGGGAGACAGCCTCCTATGTAAAGCAGTAGCCTACACGAAGGACTAAAACCCATTATTGATTCCAACTAAAGTATACCCATTGAAACAATGGGAATTACATAAAGGTTGCTTTACCAAATTTCCATTGATTCAATGGCTGAAATCATATTGAAGAAAACAGGGTGCGTAAGGGCAACGACACAAGCTGTTTTCTCTTCTCTCTTCTTCTTCCTCTGTGAAGCCAGGTGTGTAGCTGCTTTCCTGATCAAATGTGCGCGATGGACAACCAGGTCCAAAGGAAGCACTGCTCGCACAACTGTCCAAGCGCACTGTGTGCTCCCTACAGGAATCTGGCCAATAGCTCCACTCTAGTTGGGGGATGATTTAACAATGGGATTCAGGCCAAGCAATTTGAAATGCTGTTCCCCCCACCACCCAAATTACCTGATTCCACGGATGGAAGATACTGGAAATGTCCAGGTGTTAGTTCCTTCCTGTAATAGAAAGAGAGAACTTAAAGATGAAAGCATGCAAACACACACACACACACACACTTTAAAGATGAAGGCATGCAAACACACACACACACAAAACCAGGAAATGGAAGCTTAGCCAGGAACCTCAACTGGACAACCCAAATTGCAGCTTGAGAAGAAGAGCATTCAGCATGGAGGTGCTTCTCCGCCCCCCCCCAAACCACACAAAGTGCAACTGTACTCAGGAGAAGCCTCACTGCAACAGCTTTGCAGCTCATAAAACATCTCTCAACTCCCCGTGTCTCAACTCCTTGTGTACATATGTATGTAGTATGTATGAAACACATTCAAGCATTTTCTATACCACTCACTAGTCAATGCCTTTGCAGCAATTTACAAATGGAAGACAAAAATATTCAATTTTTAAAATCACAACTATTTAAAGTTTAAAGGTATCTAAACCTTAAATATGTATTTATCAGAGATATGAGCAAAAAAAGACTGCAGGGTGCCTGGGGAAACCCTGGCCTACATTGCAAAGGCTCCCAACCTCTGTGTAAACAGATCAGAAACTTTGCTGGTCCATGACCCCCAGACATACCTCCTCCAAGGAGCAAATGTGGCTCAGAGTCACTGATTTTTCTGATCCTTGCCTGCCGATACAGAGCTGGGATGGTTGCAACACTCTGCCCAGTTCTAGAATCAATACCTGTCAAGGAAGGCAGCAGATGAGAGCTTTTAAGGGAGTATTGGATCAACACATCAAGGATCAGTGAGATTAGACATGATGGCCACACATCAAAGCTCCGTGTTTAAAAGCAGTGCCCCTTGGGACATCAATTACAGGCAGGATATTGTGTTTATGCACATCTACATAGGGATTCAGGAGATGCAATTTTGGACAGTTCATATTTTAAAAAACAAACCATTTCTTCCCCATTCCTCGTAGGAGGTGAGGCTGAGATTTCTAAAGAACGACCGAAGCACCAAATTTTCGCTGCCTCCTTACCGAGCACTGCTCTGTAGAGACGAAGGGCTGGCAACACGCCATCACAAATCCCAGCCAGAAATCCATCAGCTCCTGTTTGGGTGACCAAGTGTCCAGGGGAGTAGTGAAGTGACTGTAGATTGTATAGGTCTCTTTGATAGAAATCAGGTACCTGCACCATTAATGGGGCAAAGGATAGTATTGATGAAAGGCAAAAGAAAAATGAAAAGAAAAAGAGAGATACAATTCAAATATTCCCTGGAAAATTTCCATCCAGTGTCTGTAATCTCCAAAGCAACTTCTGGATCATCCAAGATCAGAATGCAAACTATACAGAGAGCAGCTTTTCTTTGCCCGAGACGCCTGTCACATCAGAATGGTTAGATGAGGTCAGTTTTGCTTGCCAGATTGGGCTCCAGCTTGGATAGCCACACAGTTCCTTTTTTAAAACCTGACATGCATCCAAGAACTAGCGAGGTATCACGGTTAGAGCAGCTGTAGGAAATGTTTCGGACTGGGACTCCCATAGCTCCTTGCTATGGGGCCATGCTGGCTTTCACTGTTGAGGTTGGTAGTTCAGAACACCTGGAAGGCACCAGGTTTCCTGTTACTGGGTAAGAAAATTGGATAGGGCCAGTTTCGGTACTCAGGGCAGTACATGTTTTGGACTAGCACTCCTGGGGGAGAGAACTGGACCGAGACTGGGCTCCTTCACTTCATTAACCCACAGAGTTCTGGCCAGTCAAGTGTCTCACCATCAAAACTACCTCTCCGGGTTTCGTTGTGCTAAGGCAGCTGATAGACCACCTTGAGCTCCTTATAAGAACAGGTGAGATATAAATATTCTAAACAAAGAAAAAACTCAGGGCCACATAGATGCAAGGATGGGGACTCAAGTTGCAGGACTTGCTGTTAAGTTGGACTTAAGTCCCATTGGTGACTCAACTTTGACTCAAATCTTTTTTTTCCCAATAACTTGGACTTGACTTGTAACTTAGAACCCATCCACCTCTCCTTTTTTTTCTGGGGAGGAGGGGAAAGACTTGTCTTTAATAGGGACTTGAACTTGGGACTTGGTACCAAAGACTCAGACTTGGGACTCAGATGCAAAGACTTGCCAACATCCCTTCATAGATGTGATTCAACTGGTTAAATGTAGCCCAACAGCCATACTCAGTAACAGCCCATCTGAAGCTTGAGAAACCTTCTAATTTTTATGCCTGTGGCAGGAGAGAAGAGAACAAGCTCAAGTATTCATCAGGCCACAAAACATGAATAGACAAAACCCAGAAATAGGCAAACTGGAGCCATCCACATGTTTTGGACTATGACTTCCACCAAACCCAGCCAGCATGACCAATACTAAGAGACAGCGCAAATGCTAGTCAAAAACATGTGTTGTCAATAGTACCAAAAGGCCTCATCTTTGGCCTGTCTGGAGCCCAAGCAGGATGATGAGGAACACATTCTGTTTTGCAAGCACTTGCTTTTTTTACACATCAACACAAACATATTTCAGATCTGCAATGGCCTTGTGACATTAGGAGTATTGTGGTGCCTTCACAATTAACACAATAATTTCAGTATAAATTTCACAGACTACAGTCCACTTCTTCAGATGTAAGAATTGTGGATTGTAATCCATGAAAACTCATGCCAAAATAAAGGCAACAGTGTTAAAGATACCAGAATACCTTTGTCTTTGTTTTTGTTGTTCCTAAAACAGACTAACATGGCTGTTAGTTAAACCTAGGAGATACAGTATATCACAGAAGTGAGTACACCCCCTCACCGTTCATAAATATTTTTGTATATCTTTTCATGTGACAACACTGAGGAAATGACACTTGGCTACAATGTCAAGCAGTGAGGATGCCCTATTTCTACACTCTAGCAAGAAAGAAGTGTTCTGCTTCTCCTAACAAAGTCAGAGACTTGCTAAGGACCAACAACCCATCAGGAGATCCCCTGGACAAGAGCCACTGACAGTTCCTCTTTGCTAATGCAACCAGATAATTCACTCATCTCTTGGAAATGAGCAGGCAAGCAAGTGGTGGGGGTTAGAAAGTAGCAGTAGCTGCAGAAGCCTGACTGCTCACCAGTCCTCTGCTGTGCAATACTGTACTGTAGAAATGAGAAAGCAAATGAGCAGCAGCGGCACCAAGAGAGGAGGGTGTCAAGCGTGTCTTGCCCGAGGGTCCCCCTAAAACCTGGAGCTGACGTGGCTCTATAAACCCGCCCTTTCCAAGCACCCAATTCAGCTTGTTCAACATTCAGACACACAACGAGTCCTCCTCCTCACTCCTGCACGAGAGAGAAGCCAACGTTGCCACCACATACCAGACAGGGGCGTTGAGCTTATAGAGTTTCTCGGAAGCCTGAATGATTTTGTCCATATCACCGGTCAAGATACTTGCGCCCAGGTAAAAACCCACATCCCAGTAATGTTGCATTTTTTCCAAACAGCCTTTCCGGCCCAAGACACAGCTTACTTTCATACCTGTGGGAAGATAGAGGAGAGATTCTTTTTTTAAAAGAAAGAAATTTTGAAAGGGGTTTTCTCAGGACACTTGTTATAGTCCCAGAGCTAAAACAATAAAACAGATTACATAAGAAAGGCAAGGAACAAATTTAACTCTCAGCTCCCCAAAGCCCCAGCTAGCATAGCCAATGGTAAGAGATTATGGGTAGTGTAGTCCAAAAAACCCTGAGTGAGCCTGAGACTCCCCGGACTTCTGGGACTCCAAATTCCATAGTGCAAAACACTGCAGATCTCATGTTCCTTTTCCCAAAAGGAAGGCAACCCCCTCCCTGCTCAGACCACAATGCAGAAAATAATTGAATTTGCCAGTGGTTGATGTTTTAACTTTATCAAAAGGTATCATTTTACAAACTCCCCAAGATTTTATCTCAGAAGGAGGATTTTCTAGGATTAGCTGACGAAAAAGAGAGAGGCCCCGCACCAATCTGTCGAAGCTGCACAGACGTTTCGAATCGGTGCCCAGCCGCAATGAGGAAGACGACTGAGTTAATTCCAGCATGAAGACTCGGCTCTGTCAGAAAAGCTTTGTGGTACCTGATGAGTTAAAAGGGATACAGAAATATCAGATCTGAGAAACAAGCACACATTTTCTCCATGCTCTGCCATGAACCTTGCTCCGCAGCTTAGCATTAACTTTTGTTTCTGTCTGTTAATGCCAAGCATAATGTCACAGGGTCGCATCTTGGCTGGCTGCCGCTTAGGGACAAGCGATGGATGCAGCAAAACGCTTGAGGGCTAACTCTCACACCCCTGTTCACTGGCTTCCCTGTTTGGGGGCCAGAGTAACAAGAGAGAGGCTGGCTGCCGTTGCAATATTTCAGCATGTGTGTCGTTCTGCCAACTCCTGCGACATTGCATAACAAGAGAGAGGCTGGCTGCCATTGCAATATTTCAGCACGTGTTGGCCAGAGATGGCTTTTGTTTGCTTTTTGCTGTCAGCTCACCCAGAGATGGTTTTTGTTTGCTTTTTGCTGTCAGCTCACCCCCCTCATTTTGTTATTTAGATGAGATTGGGCATAGGTGTGTGCCTTTTAAAGAAACACATTGTTATTGTGGTTTTCACACATTTCCTCCCCAGAGGGTAAAGTTACTTTTTGGCCTACAATTCCTAATAGCATTAGGGAGTATGGGAGTTATAATTCGGAAAACCAGTTCCATGCTTTCTTGGGAGTTTGTGGAGTTCAGAGTCCAAAAATTAACATGCCCAAGGTCTGTCCTCTTCCCCACCTCCATCACTCATGTCTTGGAGACCACCAAGGGCTTTTTCCCACCCATTTGGTCCCTTGGCCATCAGCTGTGTTGATCTTCCTACAGTGCCCTAGAGTAATCCACCACAGCACCCCTGCAGCTCATGGGTGGAGAATTAAAATCACCAGGCTGCCCTCCCCCTCTGCTCTTGCTGCTCAGCCAGTCCACAGCTCTAGGCACCAGCAGACTCTTCTAGATGGGCTCTGGAAGTGGGATCAAGGCAGTCCACAACTTTGGCCATCACCCATAAGCTAGCCTACGTGTTTCAAGATGGAAATGCCAAAGTCTCCTCCACAGCTGAGTAGCAAGCGGATGTGCAGTCAGTCAGAGAGAGGTCCTACTTGTGAGGAGGGAAGGCATTGTTTACATGTAGTCCTGCAACTCACAACAGATCTTCCTCTGCAAATGGGCACTTCTTTTGACACCCGCGTCCTTTAGAATTGGGGAGGTCCATCCTACCTCCATGTGCTCCCAGTCCAGAGCAGGGCTCTGTACACTTTTAGATCTAAGGGAGGAGCTTTTTCCAAAATAGTAAGCAACTTTCAGTCACTCCCAGTTTGTGGGCAGGCGGGGGGGGGGGAAGGGGATGAGGAAAAACTCCATGGATCTAAAACAACCTGGGGGATGGGGTTGGCCAGCCACACTTCTACTCCTCTAAAGGCGTGAGGGAACCTTTATGGTTTCAAAAGCCATCTGCTGCACGGGTGGATGCATTAGGGGTCCAGTCCTCTAAGGAGAGCAGTTCAGCAGTTACAATTCAGGCCAGTATAACTTCAGACCAAAGTTTGCAACATAGTTTTTGAAACAAAGCTTTCAGAATGCATGCCTTCTCCATCCAGCCATGCTAATTGGGTGCTCTAGGGATTTACTGTATAGTCCAGAAAAAGTAACTTTTCCAAGCTCCACTTGAGATTTCTCTAAACCCTCGCCCATACTTTTACAAAATTCATGAACGTGGTAATCTGATAAACTTACTGTTCACTTATTCTTTCCCTTCCTTACCAATAAAAGGCTTGGTCCCTCTTCTCCGGATCAGTGAAGCCAGAATCAATGAACATGTCCTTGTAGATGCGGCCGCACATGCAGTACAGATCAGGAGCAGCCCCTTCTGGCTTCTCCACCAAGGGCAGGAGAACAGAGAGGGCCTTCTCTCGGTCACCAGGCTGGTTGCGCCTGCAAATGCATCACACACGGCATCCAGAGGTCACAGAAAGCTGATTCACTAGCACAGAGGAAGAGGTGGACAAGAAGGGAGGTTGCACCCCCCTCTTTTGTTCACGGCTGGCTAAGGAGGCCCTCCTCTGCCTATGCAGGCAAGTCTGGTTGGCCGCTGAAGAGAAGTTTAGATTAAACAATGTCCAAGTCCTTTCAGTTCTGCTCCACGGAACTGTAGGAAAGTAAAAATGGTGCACTCCCTGAATAGTGATTCAATTTCAATTGCCCATGATATCCCAGAGATGCTAAGTCAGATGCTCCACCTAAAGTAGAGATGTACTACAGCACTGGAAAGAAGGGCCAAAACAAAGCACAGTAAAGAAACTTGTTTGTTACTGGAACAGATATAAGGTGATCTTAAGAGACGGCTGAAATTTCCTTGGATGTTTTGTGGGGTTAAAAATGCTGTCATTTGGACAAAAATACTCAGCACCACTTTCCATAATGAAAGAAGAAAGGATTGAAGCAGAAGGAAATTGGCAACTGAAGTGCAAATGAGAGACAAAACCTTGACCAGAAACTCCAGTCACTAAGGGTTCAGAGCCACCCCACTGGACTCTCATTTAATCTCCAGGCACCCGAAGAGGCTACCGTTACACATCCAGGCAAGGCAAAGGACAGCAATATATCCTTACATTGCCTGTGTTCTAGAATGCTCTTGCTTTTACTTTTAACTGGCTACAATGAGTCTTCATTTACTCAGGACTAAGCATGTATGTATAGGGATGTGGTGGCACTGTGGGTTAAACCGCAGAAGCCTCTGTGCTGCACGGTCGGAAGACCAGCAGTTGTAAAATCAAATCCATGCAATGGAGTGAGCTCCCGTCGCTGGTCCCAGCTCCTGCCAACCTAGCCATTTGAAAGCATGTAAAAATGCGAGCCAACAAATAGGTACCACCTCAGTGGGAAGGTAATGGCGTTCCATGTCTAGTCATACTGGCCATGTGACCACGGAAACTGTCTTCGGTCAAACGCTGGCGCTACAGCTTGGAAACGGGGATGTGCACTGCCCCCTAGAGTCAGACACGACTGGACTAAATGCCAAGGGGAACCTTTACCTTTACCTAAGCATGTATGTGCATATGGAGTGGATAACTCACTTTCTCACAGTACTGAGTAGATTAAAGTAGATTTTATCTTTCTCCCTTCCCCTTGGCACCATTTTCTACTTACTGAATCTTTTTAATGTCTGCAGCATATATCTGACAGATGGCTGCCTAGCTTTCTACTGAATGCCTCCATTTTTGGGGCACTCACCACCTTCCATTGTCATACTGCTCTAACAGTTGGAAGATTATACATATCACATTTTTATCCCACCTTTCTCCTTAAAAGGACCCAAGGCAGTTTATATCATTCAACAACAATATAGAAGTTAACTACAGTGAATATACAAATACTAAAAAGGATCAAGCAAATACAACCAAAAAAAACCCATAACTCCAAAATACACTGAAAACAGAGAGGTACAACATATAACATCAAAATACACTGAAAACAGAGAGGTACAACAATCCATTTAAACTCTCCCACCCAGGCAGCCAGTCACTCGGGAAAAGCTTGTCCGAAGAGATATTCAACTGAAATCTGGCCTTTTTGATATCTCTATCCAGTTACCACTTGGTAACTAGTCACTTGCACTGATCACATCTGCAACTGCTTAGAAGTTGTATAGTATTTGTCTATGAGAATGCTGAGGTTGAGGTGGCTGAGATTTCTGTGAGGGCTAATTAAAGATGCATTGTAAGAACCAGCCTGTATGCCTTCCGCCTTTCCCTGAGCGGACGCTTCCTTCCTAATACAGTGGTGCCCCGCATAGCGATGATAATCCACTCTGGATAAATCGTCGCTATCCGGAAACGTCGCTATCCGGAAACGTCGCTATACGGGGCAAAAACCCCCATAGGAATGCATTAAACACTGTTTAATGCGTTCCTGGGGGGGGACTCACCACTAAGCGGAAATCCCCCATCTGGCCGCCATTTTTGCCGCCTCGGTAAGCGAGGAATCGCCGCGAAAACGCTGCGGGAGGCCATTTTCTTGATGCGGCAGCCATTTTAGAACCGCCGATCAGCTGTTCTAAAAGATCTCAATGTGATGTTTACCCTATTTAAACATCACAATGCAATCGCAAAAATGATTGCAAAATCCACATCGCTATGCGGATTCGTCATTAAATGGTGCACTCGTTATGCAAGGCACCACTGTACTGGTTTTAGAGGCAGAAGTACATGCAATTGGTGCCATGCCTGTAGCATCAACCTAACCTGTTCTTCATGTACTTCCCAAAGAGCAACCTTTAGCCTGGTTCTGCACCAGGTTGTACAGCTGGGGATGCCAACAGCAAATGCCTGTAGTTCTTAACTTATCTGTCACCTAAGTTAATGCTGATTGCATTACACTGGCTTAAGAACCCTGCAGGGCTTTAGCCTTTATTTTGCATTTTAAAAATATTTAGAAACACCCTGACTTCCAGTCTTCTGAGGCTTTGAACTAGGGCTTTCTTAGCTTATGCATCACTCAGAGGGAGCACCGATCTTTGTATGGCAAAATCCCTTACCTGTCGAGAGCAAAGGCGTAGTGGAAACAGATACTGTGCTGCTCGGCAATGTTGCAAGTTGGCAGAGCCTGCAAGGTCTCCACGAGGTTGATGATGGCGTTACAGTCCTGCGGAAGGACAGCAGAAGCAACCATTCATGGCTGTGTTGGACGAGGGATTCTGGAGGCCATGATCCCACTTATTCAGATTAATAAACCATGAGAGCCAAACACGGCCCCTGATCAATCAGCTCACCTGCGCATCACGGTAGGACAGAAGAAAGTTCATGACGATATCCAAGCTGAGGCACTCCACACTGTCCAAGCGCTGCTGGATGCTGGTCAGCTCGCGGCTCAGCTCCTCCCCGCTGTACCTTTCACGGGCCCTGCGAATGTCTCTCCGGATCATCTCCCGGAAGTAGCCACTTGGGAGAATAACATATCGGGGTTTGTTTATTTGCAGCACTGAACATAATGTTTTATGACATTTCTCTTCCACTTTCCCTACAATGAACACAAGGCTGCACATATGGCTCTTTTCTTCTCCTCTTGATCCTCCTAACGGCCCTGCAAGGTAGGTCAGGCTGAGAGGCGGGGATTGTCCTGAGGTCCCCCAGTGAATTTCATTGCTTAGTAGAGTAACTGAGTTGGAAGGGGTCTATAAGGCCACTGAGTCCAACTCCCTGCTCAGTGCCAGAATCCAAGCTACAGTATCTCCTACAAATGGCTGCCTAGCTTTCTACTGAATGCCTCCATTGTTGGAACATTCGCTTATCTTTTGAGGCAACTAGTTCCATTTTTGTACTGCTCCTAACAGTTAGGAAGTTTTTTCTGATATTTCTGAAAGTTAAACATCCCCACTTCTCTCATTCTTTGCTCATACCCTGATTGTCCTTGCTGTCCTCTCAATCTGTTGCAGTTTGTCAGCGTTCTTCTTAAAGGGCAGTGTCCAGAACTAGACACAATACTCAAGATGAGACCAAACCAGTGGCAAACAGAGGAGGACTTAGGACTTCATGAGATTTGGAGACTAAAATTGCATTGGCCTTTTTTGAAGCCACATGGCACTGCTGGCTCCTATTCAACTTGTGATCTACAACAATTCCAAGATCTTTTCCCTCCCAGAACTGCATATGTGTCTGCTTCCATTGCTCTGACAGAACAGCACTAAATTCATACAGCTGGAAACCTGAAAAGTCATGAAGTCAACCCCCAGCTAAAGTGACCCAGATTGATGGTTATTGACCCTGTGTTTTAAAATCTCTAAGGAAGTCGAGTCCACCAATTTCTGAGGTATTCCATTCTACTGCTGAATAGCTCTTACCATTAGGAAGTTCTTCCTAGTATTTATCTGAAATCTCCTTTCTTGTAATTGGTCCAGTTAAAGTGACCCAGATTGATGGTTATCGAACCTGAGTTTTAAAATCTCTAAGGAAGGAGAGTCCATCAATTTCTGACATATTCCATTCTACTGCTGAATATCTCTTACCATTATGAAGTCCTTTCTAGTGTTTATCTGAAATCTTCTTTCTTGTAATTGGAATCCATTGATTTGAACCTACCTGGCTTTATCTTCCACATAAGAGACCCTTAAAAAATCTTTGAGGACAGCCAGCATATTTCCTCTTGATCTCTTCTCCGGGTTAAACATACCCAACTCCCTCAATGGACTTAAGTTTCCTGATTTTTGACCATTGTGGTTATCCTTCTTTCAACATGTTTCAGTTGATCCTTATCCTTCTTAAGAGTGTCCCAGGTATAGTCTCACCAAAGGAGAATACAACATTACTTTCCTTCTTCTGAACACTATACTTCTGCTGTCTTTAAGAGTTTAGCACTCAAAGCCCTTGCCCTAGACAGACAAATCTGTCAGTTTTGATTTCTCCCACATTTGATACTTTTAAAATCTCAAGCTCTTTCCCTCCTGAATACGAAGAAATTTGTGACTTTATCTGAATTCTTATTCCACCCCCACAAAAAAGAACCAAAGTAAAATTGTCAGAGGACTGCCTTCTCTAAAGTAAGGCACATGGCCACCCTAGAAGAGATAGTAGCATTTTCTTAATGCAGAAGAAAAGATTGGAACATAGGAAACTTGATCACACACTCAGACTACTGGTCTAGCAAGCCAATTTATTTCTGCATACAGTGATGCCTCGCTCGATGAGGATAATTCATTCCGTTGAAATCACAGTAAGGTGCATGGCCACCCTAGAAGAGGTAGTAGCATTTTCTTAATGCAGAAGAAAAGACTGGAACATAGGAAACTCCATCACACACTCAGACCACTGGGCTAGCTAGCCAATTTATTTCTGCATATAATATTGTATGTATCGTTGGGTTATACATAGATATTTTATTGTTTTTGTTTATTTCATGAATTGTCAATAAATTTTTTTTTAAAAAACCCTGGTTCATCTAGCCAGTACTGTCAACAGTGGCTGGCTGTGGTCACCAGTGTTGCATGCAGGATTAATGCAACCTGACTCTGGAAATCAGACAAGTTCTGTTTGTTGACAGGTGATTTGGTGTTAATGGACTAATTATCCTACAGCTTTGGAAAGTTAACATTTCAGAGTACAACCACTATCCCCAGTGCTGGCCAGAGCATTCTACGAGAAGGACTTTAAAAAAGTAACTTTTCCAAGTTTTGGGAAAGCTTTAGATATGGCACTCTTCCATACAGCTCACACATTTTTCGTGCCTAAACACACACAGAGATACAAGGAAGCAGAAGCAAAAAATACCACGTTCTTGTGTTAGCATTTTCCACATACTTCCCCCATGGTAAAACCACAGTGACATCTGAATCAGGCCACTGGTAACAACATGCTTAACTGTGATGCAACAGCAGAGGTTTACCACCGCTTCCTGCCAACGGCCGTGCAGGACAGCTCTGGAAACAGGAAGAAGACCCAATATAGGGAGCTTTTGTCTAACTGTTTACTTTCCTTCTCTGTAGCATGGAAATTCACTGCTCATCTAGGCTCCAGGTCCTTGGAAATAACCAGAAGGCAGCAAAAGAGCTTGCTCTTGGGTGGCCATTCATCCTGTTTTATACAGGACAACCCTCTATTCGAAGGCATTCTCTATTTGAAGGCTTCCCAGTCCATATCCAGTTTAAAGATTGAGGGGGAGAAAAGTACTCTGCAAGGACCTTGAAGTTGCCCATTAGTGCTTGGCACCTGGACACTCTTGGTCTGTTTCATTTCCTACTGAAAACAGAAATAGCTGTATGCTTCTGATGTGGCCTCTGGCAAGGATGGTCAACCTTAGTATGATTGAGGACCCATGTTTCAGATGGGCAAACTCCATAATTTCAACATTTAATGTTCTTGTTTTAAAAAAAATAATAATGCAGGGTCATGTACTGTACAATTGTTTTCATTCAATGGAGAGTATGTTTAATTTGCCCTTCCATGTCTAGTACTTGCCAAAAATATTGCTTTAAAAATGCAGAAGAAGAAGAGGAGGAGGAGGAGGAAGAAAAAGAAGAAGAGGAAGAAGAGGAAGAAGAAGAAAAGGTGGATTTCCTCAAAATGTGACAAAATTGCCCCTCTAAGGGCACATGAGGGTTTTTTTTTACCAAATATTTTCTTTCTTTCTTTCATGCTGGGAGTCCAGGGATTGATAGGCCACATGTAACCCATCCTGGTTTCAACAGTGTCCTGAGGAGCCTGCCGCAGTGCACCTTTTACAGCCACAAGATCTCAAGTACCTTATGAGACCAGGTACAGTAGATCGGGGCAATCTGATGTGCTTAACTAGGAAACAATTTAAGTACTTGACTTAGGTTGTCCCCTTGCAACCCCGGAAGCTGCACTCTCTGCATCCATAGTTGAGCTATGGAATTTGCTAACACAGTATGGAGTGATGGACTCTATCTAGACCAAAAAAGGGGGGCAGACAAATCCATAGTGGATAAGATGACCACATTGAGTCTCTTATACAGTGGACCCTTGACTTACAGACGGCTTGACTTACAGACTTTTTGAGTTACAGACTTCTCTGGCCGCAAAATTTAGGTTTGACTTGCAGACTGAGATTTGACTTACAGACCAGAAAAAAACCAAAATGGAACAAAAACGGCCTGTTACGGGATTAATCGGTTTTCAATGCACTGTAGGTCAATGGAGACTTGACTTACAGACTTTTTGACTTGAGAACCGCCTTCCAATACGGATTAAGTCCTCAAGTCAAG